ACTTGTCTAAATTCATTTTTCAGAAATATAATGAAGCTTAGAAATGAGCAAGTCTTGCTTTATTGTTTGAATTTTATTTCTTGGTGAAAATGTGTTTCAGCTACAAGAATATGTCATCATAAAGTGCCAAGGATTTTGGCAAAAAACAGTAATAATCCTTTGAATTATTGATTTATTTGCACTGATTCTTTTTGTCAAATCTTGATTTATTCCTTTGTGTGTTAAACTGTGTACATTTAAATATTTATCTTGTATTTATTTTTTGGACCAATCATGTTCGCAGCACAAATACTATATATAAAAAACTTCACCAACAGCTAATTTTCAATGAATGTACGACATTATGTGTCAAAAATCTGTGCATATGCTGATTTTATTTTTATCTTTACTGACTCACCGGAAAGTTATTTTTTCCTCAGGTTGTTGAATAATTTCAAACTAAAAATGTACTAAATGGAAAATAGGGCTGGTAGTCACAGGAGAAAACTTTCTTTTTGCCATGGTTTTGTGAAACTCTTGTTTTTATAGAGGAATTTTTTTGTATTTTTTTTTTGTATTACACATTAGGAAATTACAAGTCATGTGGAAAATATCCTGAATTAAAAGACACTTATTGTTTTGTTCATTTCTTGTTTGGTAGTTGAATTTCAGTTGATTGCCTTGTGCATTAAAAAAAATACTCTGGAAACTTTTAAACATTTTATTTTCTTACGGAATTTGCTTTGACACAAATGCTGACATGAAAAATGTCTTAATTAAACGTATCATTTCTATAAAAAAGCGTTACTGTGGCGCTAAATGGAAACCCAATGATGACGATGCTTTTAACTTTGAGTCATGATTGAGACCCCGAGTTTAAAGTGAAAGTGAGAGGTTAAAAGTTAATGGTGGGAAGAATCACTAATAGGAAGTCATAGTGGGACCCTCCCTATCAGGTGCTGTCGAAGAATGAGTCTTCCAGATGAAACAACGCATGTGCCTCTTCTGACAACATCCAGCATCACATCTTCTGACCTACATCACTGAGATCAAGATCTCTAACAACAATAATGTCACTGGAACATGTATAGTCATCAAAGCCAAAATAAATAGTTTCCAAGGTACGCAAGGTTTATCTGAAAACTTTTCTTCTTTAAACCCTCACTCACAGAGTCCCATCTCTCTCACTTTCTTAGCTGCTTCCACCACAGCTTTCTATTTCAACAAACTGGATGTGAAAATCAGATGCAGACAGCAGAAGTACCCAGCTACCTCCACCTACTCTGTCTGTTTATAATAGGAATCTAATCATGTCGGTTTGCTCCCACTGTTGTTTCCACAGCTTGTGCAAAACCCGCTCAAACCCAAAACATGCGTGTTAAGCTGACTGGTAACTAAAGTGTCCCTAGGTGTGAGTGAGAGACTGAATGGTTGTTTGTGTCATTTGTCTCTATGTGTCCCTGTGATGGACTGGAGACCTGTCCAGGGTGTACCCCGCCTCTCGCACAGTGACGGCTGGACATGGGCACCAGTGACCCCTGTGACCCGAAAAGGAAGAAGCGGGTAAAAGATAATGGATGGATGGATAGACAATTTTAGACACATAAAGCTGAAACTTTGAATAATAGTAGCCGACAACAATCTTCAACAAATGCTGAATGCTAACCAAACATTCAACATGGCAACCACAGCTAATTTCAATTAGCTAAAACTCAGATGTTTTTAGAGCTATTGAGCTGAAAGTTGGTGTAGTGGTAGCTGAGAGTGATTCCTAAAAATACTTTGATTGCTAATCAAAAATCCAAAAGGAAAGACTATTAATCAGACATTAGAGATATTGAGCAGAAATTTAGTGTAATAGTAGCTGAGAGTGATGCCCAACCGATTCCAAATTCAATAAAAAAATCCAAGATGACCACCAAGGCTGAACTCAAATTATTATAACTCAGCTGTTTTTAGGCATACTGATCTTAGATTTGGTGTGGTGAGATTACCAACATATAGTACAGTCAAATCAGAAATTTAAAATGGCTGACAAGTGGCAGTCCCTGTCAAAGTTTCTCAAGGAACTTTTCTAGTTGTTTCATGTCATTACTATCCACTATTACACACAATTGTTGTTTTATATTATTCAGTGGTTCAGAAAAGTAAATGTTTTTTTCCTTCACACATTTCACGCTGACAGGTTCCCTTTACACCAGATAATACAGCTGCTTGACAAATATTTACTCGTTTTTTTTGCAATTGTCCATCTTTTAATGCCACATGTGAACCCCACACCACTTGTAAATCTTTAGGGGGTGTCACCTGGGGTGGCCAATCAGGTACCAAGTGCCACCCCGGCCACCCCTTCAACTCAGCCCCTGGCTGAGACTGATCCCCAACACATGTTCTGAGTGCAGGTGTTTGTTCAAAACATTATTAACTATTTAGAATCAATGCCGTCTCTTGGTTAGCAAAATGTCTTGTGAGCTGAGCTCAATTTGAATGTTGGTGTCATTCACAACACTGACTTTGAGTTGCTTTGAACAGATCATGAGAGATATGATAGTATAGCTTGATTATAATGCTTATTTGTTTTTGATCAAAACAACTACAACACTGTCATTTCTCAACGTAGGATTATCTTGGTCTAATATTCTGGCATGAAAGGTGATGGGCTATTTGCTTTCCTTCAAGGAATGCTAAATCTTTAATTTAACTATTTATATTTTTAAAGATCAGTTAAATAAACTCAGCTCCAATGCTCATATTTCAGCTATTGGTTCTCTTGTGATCAAGAGCCGAACACAAGGGGACAGCATTTAGCTGTGGACCATTTGCAGGTACTGTCAGGCTTTGCACACCACCTAACTGCAGGAGAAGAATAACAGACAAAATAGAAGCCTTATTTTGAAGGAAACCTGAATCGATAGATTAGTTTGTGGCAACAAAAGCAAGTTTTATACATGGAAATGATAGGTTTCATTTATGAATTAATGTGTATGCTGGTAGCAAACTGCCATCCCACACCATTTCTCTGTAACAGCCACATTAGGTTCAGCGTTTAATGGTGATATGGTGTAAATCCCAACCACACGGTTGAAACGTCTTCTTCTCCTTTCTGGAAAACTGTCTGCGCACCGCCCAGGTCAACCAGTACTGGAAAATAATGACTCATGCATTCAAACACCGGCGACAGTGAACAGCACAAACAAACTGTTTTATATATTTACTGACATATTTAGCTGAATTTTGTAGTGTAATTGTCTAGATAGTATTGTTTTTTTTATACAAGTTAAACAAAATATATGTGGTTGAGGGGAAAATGAATCTAAGGTTCACAGCCACCCTTACACTCGCCCTTATACACGTTCACAGCTCCAGTACAGTACATTATTCTCTCCAGGTCTGGGGATGGAAAGTGAGTCAGGCATTCTGCTGCAGACAAACCCCCCCCTCCCCTCCCCTTCAGCGGCCCCCATTACCACTTCCTCCTCAGTTTACAAGTATACAACTCCGTGGGTGTTTTCATGAGTGGCTTCTGCGAACTGTCAAATATGAAGGGAAAGTGTCACAGTGAATGTGTGAGCGATGCAAAAAGATTTTTTTTTTTTTTTAAAGCTTCAAAGAGTCATGAGTGTTTGTTTGCATGTCAGCATGTTGTCATCAAGTCGAAATGTGACATTATAGTAAATGGAAGAAAACTTGAGCAGGATGTGTAGATGATTAAAACTAGAAACAGTGAATTTAACTTCCAGATGTTGCTGCTGCACTGTAACAACACATTAGGAGGCTGCTCTGTGCAGTAGACTTGTTCTCCACAGGCTGCAGAAAATCATCTGTTTCATCAAACTGCAGAGATTACAGTAAGTTTAACCAGTTTGATGATTTTTGCTTTTGTTTTGAGTCAATGGGCTCTTAAAAAGGCAGGTGCACAGTGTCTGCTGTGTGGTTGGAGAGTGTGATAGGTTTGTTGGTAATGAGACCTCTGCCTTCAGCTCGGCCTCGCCTCATACATCAGGAAATGAACTCTTTTGACTCACAAGACCTAAGAAAGGAGACGTCCGGAAACCAAACTGAGCTTTCAGATCGTTATAGGTTTATTTCAGAACACATTTGCTTAAATACAGAACAATTATTAAAAAAAAAATATACAGTACATCTGGAAGGAATAAATAATGTTTATGTGTCAAAGCTTTAAAATGAGAAAAAGGCTACAGTTTGTGCCTGTTATATTTTGACGTTTGAATTAAATTGAAATAATACCCAAAAAAAAACCATTAAAACAGCAGAATCTGTCTGCATTTGTTCATTTTGATTTGAAGTAGAAATATATTAAAAAAAAAGTTGGCATAACTTATGGAGGTAACGTTTTCACCCACATACAGAAAATCACCACAAAGTCCAAAGTGCAGCGAACATTTCTCACCTGCCACTTTGAGTTTTTTCATATTAAACTAACAAAAGAAAAAAGTCCCTGAGAAAAGTCCTGCAGTCGTTTAGACTCTTATTGTAAATTTTTATATGGATGCAGAAAGTAGACAAGTTTAGAAATCTATTTTTATGATATTATCTTTGATTCTATTATCTGAGAATGACCATACCTGTTATTAATTCTTCAATCTCAAAGTATTGAATGAATTATTTTATTTTGAGATCAGATAACTTAATGATTATAGCGCAAAAAAAAGAAACAGCTCATCATTATTCAGTATCACTGTGACGACACCAGGGAATTATCTGAAACTCTTATATCTCGTTCCATAATGGCTGTTCCTTGATGTGGCTTCTTCAGCTTGGATCGGTTGTCATAATTTCTGATGAAGAAGCGCCTCTATGATTTACTATCATTGTGATTTTTAAACTATTTTTGCTTGTTACAAAAAGCTTATCTGGGGTGAAATAACTAAACTAATCTGTTCTCTTGAGAAAACAAGCTTCAAATTCTCACAATAGTGAAATAATTACTTTCAATTTTTAAACAAGGTCTCTCTTGGATTCCGTACTTTTATATTAAAAGGAAAATATCAATGTGATATTTATATCATATATGCACCAAAGACGTTCTCAAAAGATTTGTGCCGTGCAATTCTTCTTGTGTTACTCACGTTTACATAAATTGCATCATTCTTGTACAAGTGAAACACTCCTCCCAGATAACTGTTGGATTGGATTTTACCCGGCGTTGGTGAGTTGTTCCTGGATTGCAGGAGAGTAATGTATCCTCCTGCATACCTTTCAGTTTTCACGTTTATTTCATGGGTAAAGCTGCTACTGTCTAAGAAATAGAAAACCTTGGAGTAGACATAGTAGTAGGCCTCTTTCTGGATGATGAGTTCCTTGTTTTCATACTTTATCTCGTAGAGGTTTGGTCCTGCGACCATGCTCCACGCCATGACATGTTCGTCATGAACCACATCTGGGCCATCTGGAAAGAAAACAACAATGGTGCGCTTTGGTATTAAAATAGCCACTATCATTACAGAAACCACAGGAATTCTGGTTTTACCTGTTAAATGCGCGACTGGTTTGGATGGAAGAACATCCTCGCCTGGAGGTTTAGTGGCAGAGGCTTCATCACCTGTTTGAAAAGGAAGCATTGTGGATTTTTTTTTTCTAGTTAACAAAACTTTGAATTGAAGAAAATGTGCCAAGACGTACCTCCAATGAGCTTTGAGATTGTTGCTGAGGAGACCTGCAATGGTAGAAAGAAGAAAACTGTCAGCGGTTGCTGTGTGCGTGCATGCTGCAACACTGAAACAGATGCAGGACTAAATGCAACACAGCTGCAACAAAACGATGCAAAAAGCAACAACTTTTTTTTTTTGTCATTTTTCTGCAAAGGCAATGTTTGATGCTCTTTCTGAACATAAACAAAAGGTTGATTATGACTGTGACAAAGGAAGTAGACCATTTCCTTCTCTGCACCATCCCTTGTTGGTGCAGCATGTGCTGTCTATCTTCTCAGAAAACCTCCTCCACTTTCAAAACCCTAAGACCACTGCCCTCGCACACAGTCAGGACAGGGTATGAAACTGAGTCAGAACACTGATCAGCAACTTTTCACAACCATAAAGCATCACGTTTGGGGATTGTTGCTCTCTAAGGCGTCACTATAGGATTTTGCAATTGTTACAGACGTAATGTACTTGGCCATGTCTGGTCTACTCGCTTACCCGTACCGTGAAATAATTGAAAGTCAGCAGTTTTAGAACAAAATCATTTACATGACTTAGAAAACATAAACTAGTTTTGCGTCATAACTTCTTCTTTTTACAGGCGTTCTTGAAGATTCTTCAGGTTTACTTTCAAAATAAACTCTGACCGTGATGGAGGCAGTTTTTTGATGTGATACTTGGTACGTCAAATTAAAAGCCTATTATTTGTTGAAGGAATGCAAATCTTTCACCACCTTTCACGTATAAGTTTTACACTAAGACCATCATGTTGAGGAAACAACAGATTTGTAGCCGTGTTGGTCAAACCTTGAAAATAATGGTAAAATAATCTTGTGTACTTTATGCACACGTAGAGTGTTGTGACTCTCAGCTACTAGAAATGTGAATTGTAGCTTAATTTCTGTAAAACAGACAAAGATATATAGATTTTTGTGTTTGCTACTGTTGATTAGCTGTAGTGTCTTTGTTTGATGGTTAACACTTAGAGGTAACGAGTCATGGAGGTACATCCAGTGATTACTATCTGCAAGTTTCATTAAATCTATTCAGTGGTTCATGATCTAAGATAAGATAAGATAACATGAGATGAGATAAGATGAAATGAGACAAGATGAGATGAGGTGAGATAAAATAAGAGATATATTTTGCTAACAAACAAACAGGGTTAACGCCAACAGTTAACACTAAGGTTTTAGGAAAGTCAGAGTCAGTTAAGAGTCAGAGTTCCTTTATTGTCATTTGCACCACATGTGGTACATGTGGTGGAACGAAATTGTGTGGACAGGGTCCCAGAAAGGATGTCTCAGCTATAAGAGCAAATTTCAGAGTGATATCTGTAAAATGGACTGCATTATTGCTATTTTTGAGGGTTTTTGAAGGTCATGTGCTTCCTGTGGCCATCTTGAATTGAGTTGCCGTTAAAGTTTTTAAGTTGTAGATAACCATCTAATTATTGTTTCCTCAAAAGTTTCATTAAATCCATAGTAGTTACTGAGATATTTAGCTAACAGAGATGACCACAAATATTTCATAGCCAAAATTTGTGCACATGTCTTGTACATTCTCATCTTAGTGCTCAGAATGTGTTGGGAATCAGCCTTAGCTGCGGCCGCAGCAAATCTGGGGTCAAAATGTGTAAAACTGAGTGAGATATAAACATTTTTGTGTTTTTAAAGTCAGTTGTGGTTGTCTTCAATCAACTTGACTCTAAAAAGTGTGCATCTAATGATTAGTTTTACAAGTTAAGATATTTGTATGATTCAGATACACAATAAAAAATACACAATTGTTCTCCTTTACCTTTCAGCAGCATTTATCAACACTGTCAGTGGTATTTATCTGCACTTTTAACTGGTGTTTGAAACTTAACACACAAAAAAGATCAACTTTCACATCAAAACTGTCAAAGGATCACTGAGTGCATCAAACTTTTCAAGGTTGATTTCTTTAGTTTTGCATTTTACATTAAATCGTTCATATAAAATATTCAATATCAAATTTTTCTCAAAAAATGTGACACTGTAACAGAACGTGAAGGACAATTATAGTAACGTTAAATAAAAAATGAAACTGAGAATAGGTAGCAAAACTGATCACAATCAAGTCACGAAAGTAAAATGGAGAGTGGTTAAAGAGCAAGCGCAGAGCCCCAAAATTTCTAAAAGTTCAATGTATAATCCTAAGAGCGGTATTTTAAAATATTACACCCACTTGTTCAGTTTGGTAGAGTCGATAGATGAAGCAGGCTTCAATCATCATGCCACACAGCGCCAGGGCCACCAGCAGGAACAAGAGGGTCTGCACAGCGCTTGTACGTTGCCCCCCTTTGCTCAGCCGAGGCGGCAATGGAGGCCGTGTCCTATGGGTGTCCACCACAGACACAGACGAGCAGCCGCGCTCTGCCATCCCCACTGAGACCAAAGAACAGTTACGTGTGAAACAGCCCTCCAAATGTCACGGCTGTTTCTTTGAAGGACCTGCCGAGAACAGAAAAAGAGACTTGAGCTGCAGAGCAGTATTAAAAAAAGTTGCACAAATGGGTGGGCTCACTTCTGGTTGGTTCAAGTCAGGGTGTCTTATGAGTCGTCAGAAAAAGAAAGAAATCTTGAGATGTATCAACGAGCACCTGTAACTGCGCTCATCAAAATGAAACCAGCGAGACGATCTGTGTTTTGAACCTGTATGCTCCACACTGGTTTGTCGTCATTATCTGCATTGTTTTTATGTCTATATTCTGATTTACTTCATTTTGTATATTGCTTGGTGTGTTACCTGTTGTTCTGTCTGTACAGCACTTTGGTTGGCCTTGTCGCTGTTTTAAGTGCTCTATAAATAAAATGGTATGGTGTGGTATGGTATGGATCTTCTCGAGACGAATGAAGTCTTCATGAAGACGACCACAGTAAAACAGTGGAAGACCAGAAAGTTTGCATTTAACCCCCACTTCACACCCTCCTACTTCACTGAAAGAGCAATTTAGAAATATCTTCGATCACACTTCCTCCCATGAGAGTACTCTCTGTGGTTTGTCTGAAGGGCTAAAAGCAACGCATTGAAAATCCTAATCCTAACCTAAAATCTTCAAATTTACCTCCACAGATTAAGGGTCAAAGAAAGAGGTGCACTGTATGACCCTGGTCATGGGTTCAGAATGTAAACTGGTGACTTTTTGTACACTGACAAAGCATTCAACTAAAGTTAACCCTCCTGTTATGTTCGTTTCTGAGGTAAAGCAATAATGTTCGTTGGTCAATTTGACCCGGGGAGTGTTTAATCATGTAATAGTGTCAGAAACCCAAAAAAATCCTCCAAAACATTTTTGTATCTGATTATTAACTCCAATACTAACCATGTCAGTTAATATTTGTGCAATTATGCTTTTGTTATTTATCATAAATAAAGGATAAATGACGACAACTAACTCATTTTGACTTAAAAAATGTGATTTACATTTTTTATGTTTGCTGAAAAAACCTACACACAAAAAAAAAACAATAATTATCCTTGAAATTGATTTTTGTAAAAATTTTTATATTACATTTAAAAAAATTTTTTTCAAAGGGTGATCTTTATAATTGAACTTGAGACACATATACATATAATCAGGTCTCTCTTGTAAATGAGTCCTCGAGGCTCAATGGGATTTACCTGTATAAATAAAGGTTGATTGATATACTGTTCTGGGTCAAATTGACCCGATCATTAAAATCAAGACAAATGAGTCATGAAGACAAACAAAAAACAACAAAATAAGATCTTAGGAACACTAACACAGTGCATGTATGTCTGTGAATCTCCACAGCTCACAAGTAACATGTCATCATGTTGTGATGGTATACACCATGCAATGAATACAATCAGAAATACCACAAAAATTAATATATGTAAATTAACTAGACACTTTAGTTTTGTCATCTACACAACACATGAAGGGCATGTCATCAGACTGTGCTTTGTGCAAATAAATTTTGCACATTTCACACAAGTCATGCTCATTTTGACATCATCAGATGGCTTGCAAACCTGGCACCTCTTCCTCTTCTTTTTTCCTCCAGTAGCAACCTAGAAAGACAAATAAATTGTTAATATATTTTTTGATGCTCCTAAGACACGCATAACATGCACTCGCACAAACACACACTTTTACTTACCTCACACACTGATGTACTGGGTGTAGTCCTCTCCTGGATCTCCTTTACTACAGCTGCAGTAGCTGGGGTCCTTGGCATATGCTGTCTTTGTTGTATATGTGGTACCACAAGTGCCTTGCCCAGCTCTTCTAAGAAAATGCGCCTCTTGTACAGCTTTGACACATTCCACTCCGGAAAGATTTCCGTCCAAATGACAAATGCGTTGTATGCTGATACATCAATGATGTTGTAAAAGATGACCAGTGGCCAGCGCGCAGTCATTCTCTTGATGCTGTATGACCCTGTGACCTTGTCCAGATTGTCCACCCCGCCTTTGGTAGCATTGTAGTCAAGGATCATAGTTGGTTTATGGTCCTCTCGTGTTCTGATTTCAGCATTTTTATGCAAAGTGCTCATGAGCACAACATTTTTCCCCTTTTTAGGGCAATAGGACACCAGGGCTGTATTGTCTGTAAAGGCAAACATTGATGATTGAGGGTCCCTGTTCTTTGTCACCAGTAGCTCAGCGGGGAGTTCAGCTCTGTTCTTTCGGACTGTCCCAACCATCGTGAGCTTTCTTTTTAGAAGTTCTTGACCCAAGTTATAGCTTGTGAAAAAATTGTCACAGGTTATGTTGTGCCCCCTGAGACCATTTGACATGTCAAGAACAACCCTTGTACCTTGATTTTTTTTTCTGGGGCTCCTCCAGCTGGCTTTCCAGTGTAAACCTGCATGTTCAAAACATAGCTGTTTTTTGCATCACATGCTGCCCAGAATTTTATGCCATATTTAGCTGGCTTGGGGCAGCACGGTGGCGCAACTGGTAGAGCTGCTGCCTCTCAGCAAGCAGGTCCCTGGTTCAAATCCCGGTCCGGGGGCCTTTCTGGGTGGAGTTTGCATGTTCTCTCCGTGCATGCGTGGGTTTTCTCCGGGTACTCCGGTTTCCTCCCACAGACCAAAAACATGCATGTTAGGCTGATTGGTAACTCTAAATTGTCCCTAGGTGTGAGTGAGAGAGTGAATGATTGTTTGTCTCGTTTGTCTCTATGTGTCCCTGTGATGGACTTGCGACCCATCCAGGGTGTACCCCGCCCCTCGCACAGTGATTGCTGGACATGGGCACCAGTGACCCCCGTGACCCAAAATGGAATAAACGGGTAAAGAAAATGGATGGATGGATGGATAGCTGGCTTGGAAGGCATATATTGCCTAAATGAGCAGCGACCTCTGAATGCCACAAGTCTTTCATCCACTGTGACATTAGGGCCTGGGTTATAGAACAGGGGAAGTTGCTCAACCCACTTGTCCCACACTGTCCTAATAGCTGCTAGTTTGTCTGTTTCCCATCTGACAGCTCTTGTCTCTCGATTGTCAAATCGGATTACTCTGGAGAAAATATGAAAAGTCTCCAGAGACATTGTGGCCCGAAATGTTGCCCTGCCTGTCTCTGCATCCCATAGACTGGCTGTTGATTCATCCTTTGACTTGTAAACTCCGGTCAGAGTGAGAACCCCCAAATATGCATGTAAATGCATTTGGTCCAGCTCCTTCCAGTTCTCTCCAAAAACTCGCCTTCCTTCTAGATTTGTCGTTTGAAGAATGATTTTTTGTATTACATTAGGCATGAGTAGCTCACAGACCGACTTGATATCTGTGACTCGAGTTACTGCCATCCTAGTAGGCCCTGGCACTGTCTTTATTATATTTTCTGCACACTGTTTTCCGAGGTGCTTAGTTGGAGATGAAGACCACTGAATTTCACCATTTTTTGACATGAATGTCTTGCTTGGAGAAACATGAATATCACTTTCATCCATTGGTTCATAATCAGAATCATCAGACTCAGAATTGACCTCAATACTGTCTTCAGCTTCAGACACCTCCTCTTCTATTTCACTGTCATGATCAATGAGAAGATCCAGCACTTCCTGGGCTGTAAACTTTTTTTTCCTGCTGCTCATTTCCTGACCTCTGACAGTGACGATATCACATGTACCTTCAGTGTGTAATGTGTTTTGGACTCCCTTGCAGAGAGTATTTATGCCCTCCCACCCTTCCCCTTCTGCTGAGTAACCACTCAGTGTGGGTGGAGTTTTCCCACAGGAACAGAAAAGGTTCCCGTCAAAAGTTGTATAAAAAACTGCTTTCTCACAGTTTCCTTGTGAAGTAAAGAGAATAGTGAGAAAGTGGGTTTATGTGCATGCACGTGTGCGTGCATGTGTGTGTGTGCATGCATGTGTGTGGTGTGTGTGTGTGGTGTGTGCATGCATGTGTGTGCGTAGTGAAATATGTCTCATAGTTTCAAGGAAACAAATAGAATTGGATTTTTTTTTTTACCCTTTTTACCCTTCAACTTGACTGCCGGGTCGTATTGACCCGAACAGTATCGATGTAGCAAGTAGATGCAGGGGGTGGTACAAATGTGTAAAGTGAACCATTTTCAATTTATATGTTGAGTGGAACTATTAAGACAAATAGAAAAAGTTTCATGCAGAAAAAATATTTTCAACTATTTAAAAAAAAAATTTAAACTTTAAAACGGGTCAATTTGACCCGCAACATAACAGGAGGTGTTAGGAGTGGTGGACCACTGGAACCATAAGAAAACTGGCTTCAGTGTCTTTTTTCTATCAGTGTACTGTTGATTCAATCTTACAAAACTCAATTCTTTAAACATTATCTTGGGCTGTGGCAGGTTTGGTTCCTTGGTTCAACGGGCCGCTAAGTCTCACCAAAATGAAAGTACATACAGTATTTATCTAACTTGTATTGTAAAGATAATGTAGTTCTGTTTCATCAAGCGTTACTGCTCCCAGGCTGCAGGTTCAGCCAGGAACTGGTTCCTAGTTTTTCTAAATTTAAAAAAAGAAAGCAGGACCATCTTCTCATTTGGATCTGCTCCAGTTGGTTCTGGGGCGCAGATAAACCCAATGAATTTCAGATTAGACTTGGAGTGGTCAGTATTATATTTGCAAAACGAATTTAAAGTCTTGGAAAAACTTTTAATAAAAAATAGAATAAATAAATAGAAATCTTTGTTTTATCGTGGAAAGACTTGCAGGTTCTTCACCTTCACCTTATCTCCATAATTATTTCTACATATTTTTACTCTAAAGTATATTTCCTTGAGTTTACAACAGTTTACATCACCAGGGAGGTGCAGAGCTCCACCTTCACCTGCCAGCTTGCATCACACCTGACCCTGATGACTCTCCCCACAGGTGGGTCTACAGGGATGGGGCTTCTTTGGCCTCGACCTGACTCGACCACCAGGTGCTAGCCAACAAGCTCCGAGAATTTGCCATAGTTTTCCTCTTTTGCATCAAGTATCCTGACAAATGTTGGATGAAGAGGGAGATGGACCGACGAGGCCTCGCTTCAGTAATGAAGGCATTGCTCTGGTGTGCAGTGGTGAAGAAAGAGCTGGGCCGAACGGCGAACTACTGGTCCATCTATGTTCCAACCCTCCCCTGTGAAGTGAGCGTCCTCCGTAAAGTGGCTGGGCTCAGCCTTAGAGATAAGGTGAGGAGCTCCACCGGTTGGGGAGGTTCGACGTAGAGCTGCTCCTCTGCATCAAAAAGAGGTAGTTAAGGTGGGTTGAGCATCTGATTAGAAGGCTTCCTGGATGCCTGTCTGTTGAAGTTGTCTAGGCATGTCTTGCTGGGAGGAGACCCCCTCCAAACCCAAAACTCTCTGGAAGGATCATGTCTCTCTAATCTGACCTGGGAACGTCTTAAAGAAGGAGATGAAGAGGGTTTCTGCACATAAGAATGTCTGGTGATCCACCCTGGACAAATTGCCCCTGAGACCTGACTATGTCTCAGCAGAAGAAACTTTATTGTTGGTTGGTTTACAACAAACTTCCATGATGATGTCACCGCACAACAAGGTCCCAGAGAGCTCAAATCTTTGTGGAGTTTGCATGTTTCTCCCATGCATGCATGAATTGTTTGCTGTTCTCATCTCATAGTCCAAAAACATGCAGGATGTACTAAAACTTAAGCCCCCCACAAAACCAAAAAACAAGGCAAAGTCAGTTCAAAAAAATGAAACTGACTAATGCCTCAAGGAGTTCTGATCCATTCCCACAACAGGACAGATGTGTTGCCTTTTGAACATTTCACTAATAACAGCTTGGATGGTTTTCATCTATTTGATATGTGAAACATAAACATCAATTTTTCTTAAAAGCAAACTACATGAAGTAAAAAAGTTAAATCTGGTCATCTGGACATTCAAAAAACAAAACAAAGAAAAAAAAAGTTTTGTTTTTTGAATGTCCAGAGGACCAGATATAACTTTTTTTTAGATTTTTCTACCTGGATTATTGAGCATGCATCAGGAAACTACATGATGAGAAGGTGACACTGCTGCCCCCTTGTGGGAGGTTTTATTTCACAGGCTTCTTTCCAGACAATTACTGGTTGGCATCTGTCAGCAGATCACTTCCTAACATAAACTGGTGCTTTCATGGCCATAGGCTGTTGCAGCATTATTTTTTGGTTTATTTGTTCATATATATATATAATTTTATTTTTTCAGTATGAGGGATTTGATTTGCAGTGAACATTTAACTGCACTTGTATTTGATAGAATCTGGATAAATAAAGTTCAGCATTTGGTTGTATAGAAAAATGGCATTGTTAGGTCTTTTAAAAGAATTACAGACAAACAAGTTTCATGATTTATGCTTTAAATATATATAATTTAAATTTTTTTTTTTTTAAAGACCTGAAACCAAAATGTGACAAACACAGAGAGACTGTGATCACATGCATAATAATATTCAGCATGCATATTTTATGGTAGATGCTGTAAACGCAGGTAATATTCATGACACAACAGAATTTCTCTACCTTCTTTACCAACAGACTGAATACTCCTGACCTCAGCTCTGTTTGAAAAATGTCTGACATGCAGGAAAAGAAGTCAGCATCATTGAATGGTTAAATTTAAAATGCATTGCATTGAATTAGATTAAATAAAACAAGGCAAGAACCTCCTCTGTATGTTTTCTGTTTTTTTAAAGAAAAAAAAAATCAAACACAGATTCAGCATGCTTGATCAGCTGAACTCCGTGAACCAATATCCATCCAGGGACTCAAAACGAGGCCACTCACGAGGAGGAAATTATGTCACTGTCACATCACACTGGAACTTCTGCTTCACCTCTGTTTGAGAAGATGCAGACTGCGAGAAAGCTGTGCACAGAGGAAGCCTGAGCAAAGGGACTACAAGTAGAGACTGGGACAGCTGCAGAAGCATCGGTGTGTGTGAGAGCACGACTTCTTGTTTTGTGAAGCAGACAACATTTTCACACCAACAGGGACTTTCTGAGTGTGAGGGGAGAGTTTTGATGGAGTGTGGTGCAATATGCAAATAAGAGCACAAAAAAAAGTATGCTCTCAAATAAAAAATATGATCCTGATCAAAACCGGTGTCTATATAAACTCCATAGAATCAAAATCAGATCAGAACCAAGACTGTGCTCACTTTCTTTCAATCTGCAACAGATTTGTTCCTGACAATCTGAAGTTTTCTTGGTTTGAATTTATTTATTAATCAGTTTGTTACATTCTGCAAACATTATCAGACTATTATGAGCCAAAAAAAGGGTTTGGAGACACATCCCCTGTGCCACTGATCATTGCATTGGTAGGTGTTTCATGAGGTGCCTCCTAAAGGTTCAAAGGTCAAGCACGTGCATTAATGGTTCCTTGGTTTTGTTTTTCTCCGTGGATCTAAATGCAAATATGTCACACTTGTGTATGTGATCTACTGTATATCTTATGTGTGCTCATTTTCTTTTTAAATGGTATGTTCTGATCCTGGACTTTAACATGTTATTCTGAAGAACTTTGGTTAACTTTAACTTGTTTTAAATGTGCTAATATTAACATGAAAAGACATCAAATGCCTAAAATATACTTTTAAATCTTGTTATTTAGAAGAAAAAAAAAGATCAAACCACTACATTTTTTTATATCAAAGCTCATATCATAAAAGTATCAAATGTGAATTAAGTCTTTTTTTCCCACATGAATGTTTTAAGTTGTTTAACTTTTTAAAAGATAAATCAGACCGTCAAATCTCATTCCAATACAATATATTTTCTTTTGAATCGGCCATTTTGAAAGCAGACACTGCTCCTAGTCCTGCTGAGTGACAGACCTTACACCTCTAATCTCAGTGAAACACATTACATTATACAGTCGCTCTGCATTAATACACACTTTGGATTATTAATATGTACCAAACCTCTGGTTCCAGAATTCTGCTGAGAACTAAAAAGGACTTGACAAGTACATTTGTTTTTGAGCAGTAGTGTTAAAAGAAACCCTCTCCTTGGGGAGAACGTCATCCCATCACATTCGTGACACTGTACGTTGATGTAAACTGCTGCTCGGTGAGTTTATTGCTCCCTCCTGTGAGTGTGAAGTCCACACCACAGAGCACGATGCAACGAGATAGTGGATTCACTCGTTCAGCTTTGACTCGGGACGACTGGACTTTCTTCCACCATAGAAGCATGACAGGGAGCAGCTGCAGATACACAGAAAGCTTTGTTTGTTGTGCATGTGTCACATAGGAAGGTTTGAAAAAGGGAACTTAAAAGAGCGTTGCTGGTCATTATGACTGCGTCTGCACAGCTTTGTTGGATTGTTTCTTTAGTGCTGAATGTAGGTTTGACTTCAGGCTTGGGCCCAAACCAACGCTTGGGATTTACTTTTAGGTTACCTGCCGGAAGCACAGAGTGTTTCTACCAAACAGTCACGAGGGACGACAGCATGGAAATTGAATACCAGGTAAATAAGACACTCTTTTGACCAACTCGCCTGCCTTGTTAAAGAGGGTTTTTTTTTATTTTATGTTTGCATATTGTCTAACAGAATGAAAGAGGAGGTTGGACTTTAGTCTTGTTGGTGGAGAGATAAGAAAACCACTGATAGCCTACCGTTGAAGTCACCTGATTGACACAAAGACTGGACAGGCAGGTATAAACTTAAACAAAGAAAGAAAAAAAACGTCTCATTGTAAAGATAAACATGAACATTATTATGTCAGCCAAACATGATGAAGCACATCTAAAACGAATTGACAATAATTCTGAGGTTTTCTGACTTGACACATATTAATCTGAAAGAATCTGATTGGATGAGAAGCCCAATCTTCAGAATGATCTAACCTTTAAACTAGGACAACCTCAAACATCTCTTTTGCAATAAAGTGGTCATAATGTTGTGGCTTGTGAAATGTTTAAGTTTTTATCACACGCACAGTATCCCACACAAACTAAAAAAAAAATATTCATGTCAGCCCAACATTTGACAACATGGGCAAACTGAAATAAAAGCATGGCCTTTCTGTCATGTCTGAATTCAGTTCATTTGGATTTCTTCACTGCAGCCTCTGTGATCTGTAGCCACAGGACTCACTGCAGCCTCTTTGACAAGTCTCTGTCACTGCAACCCTCTGGGACTGAAGCTTCTGCCTGCAGCTTTTGTCACTGCAGCCCTATGTAATGTCAAGTCTCTATCATTGCAACCTCTGATATCTGTAATTTTTGGGATCTGCAGCCACAGTCAGTGCAGCCTATGAGATCTGCAGTCACAGTCAATTTAGCCTCCGTCACTGTAGACTCTGAGACCTGCAGCCTCTGGGACCTACAGCTTTAGTGACAGCAGCCTCTGGGATCTGCAGACTCTGTGACCTGCAGCCTCCTTCACTGCAGACTCAGTGACCTGCAGCCTCATGGGACCTGCAGCCTCTGTCACTGCATCATCTGTGACCTGCAGCCTCCTTCACTGCAGACTCTGGACATGAAGCTTCTGGCATTGCAACTCTTTATCACTTCAGCTTCTATGTCACTGCATCCTATAATTGCAGCCACTTTCACTGCAGCCCTATACCTCTGTGACATATGCAGCCTCTGGCACGGCGACATTTTATCACTGCAGCCATTGTCATTACAATCGTTTATCACTGCAGCCTCTGGACCTGCAGCTTGTTTAACACTAGTTTCCTGCACAACATTTTGGTGTAACTCTGCTTTATGAGCACAACACTGAATGTTTTAAAGATTGCATTATAATATTAAACGGTGTGTTTTTGAATACAAAATAAAAAATGACCATGTGTGCATGAGCAGACCAGGTGCTCTTTTAAACCAGTTTAGAATTGATAAAGCCTCCTGGATGGGAAGTGAAATGTCTTCAGCTTGTTTTTTGTTTTTTTTGCCAGTCATTTAATACTTTAAGCAGCAAATTTCAGTGAAGCCATTCATTGCTCAGCATTCACACTGCATTTTCACAGAAAATGCTATTTTTCTTGTTCCGTTTCAGAGCTCTGTTCAGTTCTTATCTTTTAAAGGTCATTTCACAGTAAAATGTTATCTGAGATTACAGCTGCTTGCTTTGAAATCAGGTATTTAATTTGAATTTCAGACAGCTGAGGTAAAGAATGTGAACACTAAATATGTGAAGAAAACGTTTTACATTTACTGAAAACCTGCATTTGTTTACCTGAATATTCTTTGTTTTTTTGAAGGTCATAGCAGGATCAGGTCTGGACGTTGGGATTGCTCTGATCTCACCCACCGGATACCGGGTGGTCTCAGAGTTTAGGAGATCTGATGGCATTCACATGTGGGTCTTCTCAACACTTCCCTTCTTTTGATGCCAGGATAAGTCCTTGTATTAGTTTTTTGTGCTGAGTTTTTTATTGCACCCCAATTACTGTTCTAGAAAACATGAAATTAAAAGGTTTGTGTGCATCACTCATAGATCAGATTACATTAGTAGAAATTATTCTTATATTTAGCTGCAATTAGGCTGAAGAAAGCACGTGGATTCTTTGCAGGGTGGAATCGACAGAGGACGGAGACTACCGCTTGTGCTTCGACAACAGCTTCAGTAAACTGTCTGAGAAGATGGTGTTTTTTGAGGTCATTAACAGTCAGAGCAACGCAGGCGGAGGCAGGGAGGAGTGGGCAAACATCACGGCTTCCGAGAGCCTGGTGGAGTACAAGCTGGAGGAGATCAGGGTGAGAGGAAGACACATTTCTCACCTCCTGCCTCCTCACAATACCTTTGTCATGTGTACGTCCGTTCACCTTTCAGGCCAGAATGGACTCTGTTTACTGGCACCTGGAGAAGAGCCGGCAGGTCCAAACTGTGCTGCGGGCCTTCGAGGCCCGGGACCGCTACCTGCTGGAGGACAACCTGTGGAGAGTGTCCTTCTGGTCCTGCATGAACCTGATCATCATGCTCACTGTTGCAGTCTCACAGATTTACACCCTGCGGCGTCTCTTTGACGACACCAAGCGGGTCCGCACATAAAAACACAACTATTTACCTCCAGCAGCCGCACATGAACATTATTCACTAAGGGTTGCATTTAAAGGAAGTTAACATTTTAAATTATTGTTTCATATTTTATTTTTAATGGGGAAAAAAGGCTTGATTTGTAAATTTGATTTTAAATTCACTTCAGCGCCTGAAATCACATTAAATCTTAGGATTTTATACTTGAAGCTGCTTTGTAACTGCACACAAATTCAATCATAAAATACTTGGAGCACATTTTTTAAAAATAAATTATATAGAAAACCACATCTCTTTTTACTTAAAACAACTTTTTATTAAATTTCAGAACATTTAAAACTCCTGGCTATACACTTTATAAAACAAGCAGCAAATGAAAATTTTATCAAACCCTCACCGGATGATTCTTCCCTGTCAAAAAGAAATAGGTCGTGTGCTAAATGGGAATGTTTAAATCTTGATAATAAAAAAAACTATAAATCATACAATTATAAAAAGAAAATTACTGATCAAGTATTGGCAAAGACAGTTTTGGTTAAAACATTAAGTTTAGTTTTTTCTCCTCACTGGTTCAGAAACATAAGTTTATTCCTGACAGTATTTTAAACCTCAGGTGACTCATTTTATTGGTTTCTGTCACATTATAAAACACTCCACCACTGAAATGGCATTTTGTCTTTATTTTGAATAAAAGTAAAAAATTTATAAAGTCACCTTTGTGCATTTGTTCTCTTATGCCCACATATCTGATAAAGGTGTTCATTTCCACAAATAAATAAGGTCTTTGGTGGGGAGGGGTCTCAAAATGAGGTTTGACACCGTTTAAACCTGGCTCCATCATTTTCAGTACCCAGAACTATTAAAAACAGAATTAACTACAGAACAAAAAGTTTTCAGTTTAGCGCCTGTGGGTGAAGTGCTATTAGTATCACGTTTCAGACGGTCTGCTGGCAGCAGCGTTGCAGGTTTCCGTTATAAGACTGTCGAGAACTAAAACGTGCAGCTCTTCCGTTTCCTTTGTTGACCCGGATTGAAGTCGTTTCAAGTTCGCTGCCTGCTGGTCAGGGTCACCACTGGTTTCGACGGGGAGCCGGGCGCCTGTTCAGGGACAATCAACCAACGTTAATCTCCTGACCTTGTGACGTGCAGTAAAGTATTGGTTCTGACAGCTAATACACTGCAGGTTCAGGTCATCAGAGAACCAGGTCATCTGTGTTGAAGCAAATGTCAGCTGGAGGACTGACACATTAATAACCTGAATTTGTTCTTACTGCGGAAACGAACAGCAACGAGCTGAGATTGTGTCCAAGTTTTAAAAAGAGTGTGTTGGTGAGGTCTTTAAGGCCTTTTAGAATATTGCTGAACATACAGTAGACACAGGCGGCATTCTTATTAAACTGCGTAACTGTTGTTAAATTCAGTTTTTACACTAAATCTGAGAACTCCCTTCAACCTGCACCGTGAAACTAGTGCCGTCCTTTAGAATAGAAAAAGAAAATAATAAGAAAACTAGGTGTTTTACACTATCTGTGAAAGAAACAGGAGCAAAAGCATCACACAGGACACAAGGAGACACCAGCCACCAGAGACAGTCCCTTTATTGTACACACCTCTTTATTTCATTTTCTTTCTAAATCAGGTCATGTTTATTCAAATCAATCAGTTGCTACAGAGGCACTTCACAAGGGTTTGTAAAACGAGTAGAAAGATGTTGAATGTTGGTTTCCAACCCCTTTGTTCAGAATCAGAGAGGGGAGGGAAAGAGGAAGGATACAGACACACGTTTGAGAGGCGTTCATGGTCTAATCTTCTCCTGGACGAGCTGAAGTGACAGGCCGAGGAGCTGACCCGCACAATTTACAATACTATAGTTTTGTTTAAAAAATGTATAAAAACTATCTTTTCAAAGTTTTAAGGAAGTGTTTTGTAAGTATTTGTTTTTCTAGGCTCTGTCAGTAAAGCAAGACCAGGAGAAAAGAGCAAACAGCACATTCTGTCTGGAGATCCAGCACTTTGGGATTTTTAGGAACCGTTCTTTCTTTGTCCTTTCAGGTTCTATCATTTAATTACTGTTCTCCATTTAGAGGAACGTTTAGGTAGCTTCTCCAGACAGGATGTGCACCAACAACTTCCACCACCCACTCACTATACCCACAGATCACAGAAAAAAAAAAAACAAAAAAAAAAGACATCTCAATTTCCCAAACCCCCTTTCCAAATTGCCCCCCCCCCCACCCCCCCCAAAAAAAAATAAAAAAATAAAATCCTGCATAAGTTTTAAGAAACGGATCCAGATTGTAAATAAAAAATATATTACCCTCAGAGGAGCTAATTAATTGATATTCATATCCTATAATCACAGCTGTATTTGTGAAGCCCCAGCAGTGCTCCCAACACCTGTTGCAAAATGAAAAGTCCAAAAGAAGCACAAAAAAAAAAAAAACTGTACCGAATTGTTACAACTGCAACCAAAGACATAAAAACGAACAAATGCCCTGCTTTTAAATAATGTTTGAGGAAGTGAAACATCTTTAACCTTACAACAAAGTTATAAATCAAATGTTAGTTTTCTTTTTATTACTAAAGTTGCTTTTTTTTATAAGAGCTGCAACCATTCTGATTAATAGCATGAATTTGTCATGAGCTTTATGACGATATGAAACAACTCCTCAGTACAAACCAGCTATTTACAATACTTGAAACGCATAGAAGCAAAACGGATAACTAGAATAAATGCTCTTGAAAAGCCCAGAGAGGATCGACATCTCTACTTAATTCCACCTTTACGCTCTTAAAGCCCGGATCGTTGCTCGTCTTATCACCGTGCAGCATCTCCATCCTCTTTGAGAGAAATGTGGTCCTGTGTGCTCCATTTAAATCAGCTAATCTAAGAATTAAAGTATAGTGAAAGACTGCAGCCCTCCCTGGGGTGAGCTGAGACTAATGGGATTTATAGGCATCTGTTAACATCTCTGAACTAGAGGAGAGAGCTTCCAGCAAAGTGCAGACAGACTTCAGTCTGACTTTTTTCCTCTCTCGTGGGTGTTTGTGCAGCGTTCTAGCAACAGACTACAACAGCCCTGTTATGAGCGGCGTTCTGTAAGGCTGCAATGAAGTGATTGGGCTAGAAAAAGGTAAATCTAACAGATATCTGTTCGTTCTGGGGAATAACTCAGAGGGAGGAAGACTAAATCTCATCCACCCCTTCTTTGTTTTTATGCTTTGCCTCTGTTGCAAGAAATAATTCCTTTTAAAGCTATATTATTATTGATCATTAAAAGCACAATAACTCTAATTAAGAGGGAAAGAAGCTCAACACCACCAAAAACAACTGTAGGGTTTTCAGTATGAAGTCGAGATGCAGAAACGCAGCGTGACATGAACAGTGTGTGTGTGTGTGTGTGTGTCACAGACAGCATGTGGACCCAACTTAAAAGAAGTGAGGAAAAAGGAGAGTCAACCTGCACCAGTTAATAAGTTATATAATGCATGAAATGCAATGCTGGGAACCATTAAAAAAAATAACATATTACTTTTATGACATATTTGTAATAAATCTTGAACTTAATTTGATACATTATATGTGCTGCTGTTAGAGGTGTAATGAATCACAGATCCACTGGGCTTTACGTTGTATTCTACGGCAGTCAGATATAATATTCAAGTGGTTAGGGGCTTTCTTTCTTTCCTGTGCACTAATATAGACAGTTTTAGCAGCTTATTAACAACGACTGAATAAACCGCTCAATGCACTTTATACATCACTAAGTCAGCCCCTCCCCTTGAGCCACACCCTGTCCCCGGCCAACAGTGTGCGGATACACACATCTGCACACAAACATGCTTAGGTGGGCTTGGCCACAGGTCTAGTCTAGCAGGGAAGGCTCTGCAGGACGTATAATGGTGGGCCGGTGAGACGGAGCACCAGGGGGTCTTCGGCTGCAATGAGGAGAGAAGATACAGAACAAGGGGTGAGACGTGCTCACAAAAAGACAGCAATAACCCGATGAGAGAAAATATAGGAGGCAGAGTCGGGCGTGAGAAAAAAAAAAACAAGAATTTAAAGAAAAGGAGCTTTAAAAAAAATGCCATCAGTGTGGTGGAAATGTTGAGGAAATAAATAAAACGCTTCCAATTTTTGACAAAAAGGATGATGAGATGGTGGGATTTAAATTACTGTGAAACACATTTACATGAAATATAAATATGTATAAAGGTGCTGCTCATCATGTTATAGAAGGAAGTCATACCTGGGCACACCGGGTGGGACGCGAGCTGGTCGGGAGGGGATCTGTGGAGGCGCGCTGAAGGGATCCATGCTGCTGTTGAAGGTGTTGACAGGTGGGGCGGGCCGAGAGGGGATAGGGGGTGCACCAAATGCTGGAGAGGGATTGAGTGGCACTCCAAAGGCCGGAGTGGGGTTCATGGGTGGCCCTGGTGTTGAACCCCTAACAGCAGGTGGACGACTGGGAGGTTGGGTTGCTGAAGAAAGTGGTCTGCGCTGAGAGGTTGGACTGAAGGACAAATATTATACAATTAATGACATGACAGGTTAAACTTATGAAAAACTGGACACACGTTCCAGTTTATTTGTTTATTTTTATATATAACTGCTTATTTGTGACCTCTCACCAGAATAAAAGTCATAAATACATAACTTATTTCTCTCTTACCTGGTTTCCTGGATCCAGGTATCATTTACAGGTGGTGGAACTGGGGTGGAGATTGTGTTGGTGCTGATGTCACCAATAATGTTCAGCGCTTCCTTTAGTGCATGATACATCCGCAACATTTCATCTCTACGCTGGGCCTGGTCAGCCGACTCCTCCATAAGGCTGTTCTGGTCCCCAGACGAATAAAGATAAGCCAGCAGCTCCGAATGAATGAAATCCTTTGACTGTACAAAAAAAAAAAAAAAAACACTTTAGCTTTAAGGCATACGATTAAGTTGCTTTGTAGATCTTAGTGTAAGTTTTAAAAAAATGTGTGTTTATGTGCACGAGTAAATAGTGGCTGCCAAACTGCAGTGACATCATGTGAGCCTAACGGAACAATAAAGTTTTAAAAAAAGGATTTCTGACAAGTCACTATGAGCCTCATATATAATGTTTTTATTACCGCCTTTAACTTTACAGCCTAGTGTCAACATGAAATACAACACCAACCTCACTGCTGCTAGACAGAATCACAAATGATAACAGTAGGTTAAAGCTCTTTAGTGCATTAGCGTCTGCACCTTTAATGTTTTAGCTCAAATTTGTTGTTTTGCTCATAAACTATTTGTAAAAGATGGAAGAAGCTAATATGACAGATCTATTGGATCTACAACAGATGAATCTGGGTGAGTGCCTGAGAACAGCATCTGTGTTAATCAAAGCAGCCTGTAAGTTTTATACTTTTCAAAAAGGCAAAATGTACATCAAGTCTAAACCATTGAGCTGCCATGAATAAACAAATTAAATACAAAAAAGAAAACGGTTTTGAAATCATGCTTAATACTTATTTCTGATGTAATTTTGGGAATTTTACTATTAGGGTCCTATTAAGATGGACTCGGTTTTGGGGTCAGTCTCAAGTGACTCCCGTATTTTTCGCTGGATAAGTCGCACTTTTTTGCATAAATTTGCAAGTCCTGTGACTTGTACAGCGAAGTGACTTATTTATGTTTTTTCCTATATTTATAACCAATTTTTGGCTGAGATCTGACGATTTCATTCGTTCTGACATGGAAAATATTGAACACTAACATTTTCAGCCGCTAGAGGGCCCTGGTGTGGAGTAATATGGCAAGCAAAGTGTCTCAATAATAGGTAAAAGTGGCTATTAATGAGACACTTGGCTTGCCATACAAAGCCACTTGTCTCGCTCTGGAATTCCTGGAGCAAACATCAAATCAGCTGCATTTCACCACGTCGCCCAGGTGAAATGCAGCTGATGTGACCATTAAAGTGCATTTATTAAGGAAAAGTTAAAGTGAGACACACCTTTACTATAATTTCGAGCAAATAAATAATAGTTTTTAGGTGGTTATCTTGTTAAATTTCAAAGAAATGCACAGCGAGTCCTCCCTCTGCGTGCTCCCGCAGTAGCAAATCGGGTTTTGAAATGCAGCTGATTGGACCATTAAAGTGCATTTATTAAGAAAAAGTTCAACTGAGACACACCTTTGCTATAATTTTGAGCAAACAAATAATTGTTTTTAAGTGTTAATCTTGTTAAATTCTTGTTAAAGTCCTCTCGTGCACTCTCCCGCAGTCGCCATTTGGTAGCCAATCAATTTTTGGCACAACACCAGCCCACGTTTCCGGTTTGTCAAAGGTGACGCATAACAGATGCGACTTATGGGGCGAAGGGACATATTTATGTTTTTTTTCCACTTTATTAGACATTTTTGGACTGATGCGACTTATACGGTGGTGCGACGTGTATGATGGAAATTATGATAATTAACGAACTCCTGTTTCTGACAACACCCCTTAGATTCGCTTGTTTTAGCACCAGAGGCTGCTACATAACAAAATAATGTTATATTTACAGCAAGAATGATACAGCAGTGCATATAGATTTATAGTTAACGTAGTATGAGCACAATGCAGACTTGCAATAAGACTCATGTAGAAAAATAGACATTATTATCTAAGTGTTTGAACTGTCAGTATTTAGAATGTGTGTATTCTGAGCAGATGTACTCAACCTGTTCTGCTGTGATGCACAGTACAAAGTGAACAAAATACTGTGCACAGTGATGCTTTAGTACATTCACAACACAGACACTGTCTCCATCTTTATGTTCTGATGGTTGAACAATTTTTCAGAGTTTGTATTTGTCCAATTTTACACAGGGGGTGTCTGTGTACTGTTTTCTGTACCTCTCCAGAGCAGACAAAGTGAGATCAAATCAAAACCGTGATGGAAAACTGTCAGAGGAACATTTTGGGTTTTTTTTCTGTATTTTTCATGTTACTCAGCTAAGTGTGGATATTAGTTCATGTAAAAATAAATGGATGTGATCAACGTCTTTTTTTAAGAACAGTTGTTTATCCACCTACTTTTTCAAACAGCTCTTCTCTCACACACATTTACGATTACTGTAGGTTTAGAATAAATCTTCTACTTATAACCTTCTATGAACAGCATGAACTACTTCGGGGGGAGGGGGCAGGCGTCATGACTTCCTTCTGGTGCGGCAGCTGCTCGACTCACATTGTTGATCATGAGATGCATGATTGTTTTGGGCAAAAGGTCTCTGATGGTTTTGTTGATGATGCCGATGTATGAATCCACCAGGTTGCGGATGGTTTCCACCTGTCGCTCCAACTGAGGATCCATGGAGAATGTGTCTGCAGGAGTAGGCTCTTCATTCTCCACCTTAGTAACAAACAAACAAACAAACAAACAAACAGGACGAATAAATGCTGAATACCACACATGCTTCTCCACAGTGTCTATTTGCAGAAGAAGAATTAGGTCAACAGACTAATTAAAGTCCTTTTTATCCCACAAACCTTTGTGAAACACGTTTAAGCAGTTTTATACCTTTTGTCTTAAATGAACCACAAACACCTGTTGAAATGGTTTTTTTTTTTTCATATTTGCTGCCTTGTTACTCAATTCCAACATAAAGGAAATCATTTCTATGCACACGACTGATTATGTGACACACACACAAAACAATGACAAATTAATTACATTTTTTTCTTGCCTTTATCATGTGGTAAAAATAAATGTTTCAATGAAAAATTGAATCACACACTAGCTTGTATAGTCTGCAAGGCTGGTCATTTGTTATTCATACCTGGTCCTTCTCAGGATAAACCCCTGCCCTGAGGAAGGAGGCTTTCCAGCTGTCTACATCCTCCTGAGAATCACAGGCCAGTTCTATTTGGCGAAAATCCTTGTACACATTTCTGCACAGATAAACAAAGGAAAGGAGGGGGTGGTGTTTGGTGATTTTAAGCTTTCTCCACTATAAGAACATGCATGCAGACAAAAATCAATACCAGGCGATACAGGTCAACAAATGTGTCTAGCAAACAACATAACCCTGACCTCTGTTCAATATTGAAGATTGCAAATATGTGCTTTGTGGACATGAAGCTTTTCTCTACATCTCTGATCTTCAGGTTGTCCAGAGGCAGCATATACTTCTTTTCTTTTTCCTTGAATAAGACAAAAAAAAAAGTAAAAATAAAAAGACAAATCGTACACAAACCATTTAAATAAAATGTATAAATACCCTGAAACTTTTTTTCCCCTGTAAGGGGTCCCTGAACCCAAAAAATTTGAGAATCCCTACTTAAAAGTATTCAGCTGCATAAAAAAGGACATGCATACATTGAAGTAACTTTGATGGGATTTTGTTGTTGTTGTAAAAAAGGGTTTTATAAATTTCTCATTTGCTTGGTGTTTTTATATTAATGCCTTAACAAGTTAAACTCAAGTTAAACACAGATTTTGACCTGAACTTTAAGTTTTATTAATGACACATGTTCATCTGAGATTGCATCAACCTAATTTTAAAACCTATCAAAGACCATCTAATGTTGTCGAACTATGATCTTTATACACAAGACTTAAAATTAAAAAAGTTAAATAGGGATATAGTATGATTGAATGTGTTGCTTGTTTTTTTGTTTGTTTTTTATCAGACAGATTCTGTCACTTAAATTACACTAATTTCCACAAAAATCAAAACCTTTTATAAAGAGGAAGTCTTTAAACTACTGAATACTCAGACCGATAGTAAAATTAGATGAAAAAAACAAGAACTTATAGTCATTAATGAGCAAACGTGAAAGAATGTATTTCCTCTGTTTGGATGACCACCAGGCTAGCACACTGAGAAACGCATGATGAAGGCGAGGAGGAGGAAAGGAAGAAAAGGAGGAGCCCGAGGGAGTTCTAGGGGGGTGGGGTGCCAGCTTTCACTGTTGAGCTGAGACATCTGGAAGCATTTACATCTGCACTAAGAGTGGCTCAGGCCCAACAGTTACATCACTCACAGCGCCACACAATCCCCGAACAAAACCTCTCATCCACGTACACAAAGAAGTAAATCTTTAACTGCATGTGCAGAGACAAACACGTCCCTGGAAGAACGTGGCACATAAAATGAACACCGAGTGCGTACATACATACACTTGTAAAGTTATGCTCAACTTCCTAAACACCCAGTGAGATTTGTGTGGACAAGAGTCGGCACACATGCACACTTGTACACACAATTCCCCCCTCCCTTTAGGCGCCCGTAACCCAGTACGATTTCCTGCAAATTCCAAAGTCAGACCCTGGCTGGAACATTTCAACTCGCCTTGCCACGTCAGTTTTCCTACGCTATCGTATCACGTTCTTTCTTTGCCTTTGCTTTCTCTCAAAAGGCAGGCCTGCGTAAAAATCATTTTATTTGGTACTTATGGGAAACTGACTGCTCTGTTTTTTTTCTTTTGATTCGCAGTAACGATTTCTAAGTTTCTTTTTTTTTGATGGGAGAACAGAAGAAGCTGATGAAAAGAAGTAACTGGTGAGTAAGGTGGATATAATAATTTTGCATTTCTGCTCTTACGATACTCAAGTAAAAGTAATACAGTTAAGCTGTGGTTGGACTTAAATTCTTTTTTATTTTTTGTGACTTGACCCATCATTGCACTAACATGATGCTTGTTGTAAAACTTTTTTAGCAAAGATACATTTTCAGGAGTTATTTTCAGTGAAATTAACATCACATTTTAAATTTTATAACTATGCTTTATTATAGATTGTTCATTTACAAAAATAAGACGTGTTGTTGAGTTGTACAATTATTGATTAAGCTGTTATGTACAAGTTTTTTTTTTCCCATGCATTTATTTGTTTCAATGAGGTAATATTTACACTGTGTGTCCTCTGTCCTACTGTCCTAGGGTAGCGACCTGCAGACTCGATGACCTCCGGGTCCTTCCTCTCAGAGTCCTTCTCACCCCCACCCAGCCTGCCCAGTGTTCAGACTACCTGTTCCTAAAGCTACAGCTGAACAGTAGTCTGCACATTGGTTAGGTTAGGCTGGGATGCACACGTCCTGCCTGATGCAAATGGCACCAAACCTCATTTTTAGGATACATCAACTGTATTACAAACTATTTTTAAACCCGTTTTTTAATTTATTCCCGTCGTGACGTCATCGTCTTGTTTCAGCCAGGTATATCTAACTATTTCATGACAAATACAAACTTGTGAAACAGAAATTCTTCTCACCTCCTCATCTTTGTACCAGGACAGAGATTCAGCCGTCAGGACAAACCAGAAGTCTTTGGAGCCTCCCTTCATGATGCCGAGATGGAGCGTTAGCCAGCCTTTCCTGATTACCTATGCAGTGAGGATAATGTGTGGAAAAGACCAGGATTGCAGGGGGATAGGAAATATTAACAATTAGGCACATGCACTGTGGAAATATTAAAAGGGTTCACTATAGGAATTGTTTTATTGATTCCAGGATTTGACAGACACAGACAAAGTCTTACCCTACTTACCTGAAAGAATATAGTTTACTTTATAACTTCAATGTTACATAATTTACCATATATCTGTGAGTTTACAATTATTTAAGGTCCAACATGACGGAAGCCCAGACTAAGGTTAAACTAAGTAAAGAGTGACAACATGCATAGTTTAAGAAAGTCATGACAAAAGGTTTTGAAAATGACAAATATAAATTGTCACATAGTTTGTTGACAGTTTTTATGGTGATATTTTGCCAATACTCCAGAATGCAGATTTTGATATGCCATAGAAACATTGGATAAAAAGAACTAAACACACTGTAGCATCAAACTTTGTGACAAATAGCATCTGTTTCATTCTCAAAACCTTTGGCCACAACTGTACTCTGTAACAAGGTTAAATTTAACTAAAGAATCAGATTAGATGAACGTTTTCAAGAGGTGATAAAAACAAATGAAGAAATGGTCACATTTTATTTAACAACAAATAATTCATTAAACCTACAAACAGTATGAGATGCTGTCCAGGGCTCGTTTGCCCCAACACAGTGACAAAAACAAAGAGTCGACGGTGGCGTGTCAGAAGGTTAAATGTGATTAGCTGGAGTCAGATATACAAGCGTTAAAGCCAAGATTATATAACATATAAGCTACAGCACTGCAAAAAGTTAAAAATGGAATGGATTAAACGCTGAAACAATAGGTCTGACAGTGTTTGTTTTACATACGGACACAAATCTAAATACATGCGAGCACCAGAGGTGGACAAACTATATCCGAGTTGAATCGGCCACTGTGGGGAACATGTCCTTTGCAGTTGTAGAGTCCTTTGTTACTACCTCCTCAATATTTTCTTGCTCAAGACTCCCATGCATTTCAAGTATAATGTAAAAAAATACTATAATGACACAAAAACTGAATTACGGTATGTGTTAAGTAAATTTCAAACCCTGCAGCAGATATATATATATTTTTTTTTTTTTACAATTTCCCTCTATGCATGAGCAAGATGGATGGGGTGAAGAGTGGGGATAGGGGGTGGGGGGAGGAATAGTTTCTTAGTAAAAAAGTGCCAATATCAACATGGGAGAGCAGACAAGAACACAGATTTCTTGGTAGTTTGCTCTGGCAAGTAAAGGACTTGAGCGTTCAGAAACAAAAACTTTAAATCCTCAAATAAAAGCTGGTTCTTCTTCTGCTGCATTTATAAGACTGAGTGTATTATAAGCTTTATTATAAGACTGAGTGTCAGACGAGATGCTTGTTTCTTCTAGCAAGCAGCAAACGTTAAAATATTGTCTCAATATTTGTTAGATAATAGATGTTGTTAGATCACACTGAAGATCAACACAAAGAAAGACACTTCTTTTGATTGTAGAGAAGTTTGATTATATAAATTTGCCTCGACAGATATTAGGAACACTGAATAAATGTTGAAAAGGAATTTGGTTTCAAGCGCTGTAATTTATCTCAAAGGCATGACCAGTCATTGGGTTAAAGACAATTTGAAATAAGCTCTAAATGGTTGGTGTTAGAATGATTCATGGTGGATGGAGTGAGGAGGCGAATCAAATAAACATCAAAACATATGATGGAAAATTCGGACAACTTTCATTAGATTAAGATAGTTAAAATTTGATTTTTTTTTTTAGTAATATTTTTTTCAGCATCAATAAAATTTTCAACATTCATGCACATTTAAAAAAATAAATAAATACTGTTGCATGTTGCTAATTTGATTGCTCCAACCTTCCCCATTTTGCCCTCAGTGACATTTAGGACGATTCTCACGAAGAAAACATTTGCATCACCGTGCATGAGGCAGCAGCAGAGGTACAAACCAAATGACAGGAGAACTGACACCTCCACTGTCACTGGTGGGAGAGTTTCTCATTTTATTTTTCTGCTCCTCTTTGCTGGCAAAATTCTCTAAAATATAGTGGAAAATGTTAGTAGAATTACTGGCAATTACGGCCTCATTAAAACAATTACAAATTGCTGAGTGTTAAGTGTGGAGACACTTAAAATTACTGGAAACTGTGCACTGATGCTTGAATTATAACTGATACAGATTTGGTAAGTCCGGAGACTCTACCTTTTCCTCTTGGATCTCCACAAGCTCGCCAAGCTGCAGAGGGGTAAAACAACTCATTAAGGTGAATGTATCACCTTGCATAAATACAGGAGCCTGCCATCAATCAGGTATCTCAGAGCATTTAATCTCGACACCAGAACTATAAAGGCTAACCTTTATTAATACAGCCTCAGTTCTTCTGCATGGCCTACCTCTGCTGCCGCTGGCAGGGTGTAGGTTAAATCTGTGGGGTACTTACCAGAATCTCACCCTGCAGTAATGGGAAGGGAAGTGGAGTTAAAGCAAAGGGGGAGCATGAATTCAAAGCCAAAATAAATGAAAAAGCAAGAAAGTAGAGTTGAACAGAGAAGAAAGAAAAAAGGTAAGGGGTGAAAGTTGAGGTTGATAAGGGAAAGAAACAATTACGTAGGAATGGAAAAGAAAAATAGAAAAAGGGTAGAAAATAAGGGATTTAAGAAAGAAATTTGAAGGAGCAAAAAGAGGAAAGAGGAAATTCATGAGGCAACAAGAGACGGATGAAAAGAGGAGAGAGATACAGAGAGACAGAGCAAGAGTTACATGCAATTAAAATTATTTCATGTACATTACAATCTGGTTAAGTCACATTTTGTGTTTGGTTGATTGGTGCAATATCCATGCATATTCTAAATTCAAATTTAAAAATGCTTGTGAGTTAATGGGAAGGCACAACAATCAACATAAATTTGGCGATTGATTTTGTGCTTTAAAACAGCATGCTCGAGTAACATGCAAACAACAGCCATGAAGACAAGTGCTTGTTTAAAAGGCAGGGATAGGGGGTCTTCCTTCAAATCACTAAAGTATCTCTCCTCCTATTGAAACTATTAAGTAATTAGATGTATTAATAACTGTACACATATCATGTAGGATATGTTTAGGGGCTTTAAAACTCATTCAAATTCAACAATGGGCTAAATATCAACATGAACAAACAGAAAGGGGAAGTACCAGCTTTAAAACAACACCGAGAAAAATCTGACAGATAAATAGAAGAATCACAAAGGACAGACTGGGTGCGTTTAATAGTTAAGGTGATGTAATGGAAAATACTATTACCAAGAGGAAGAAATAGAATATTGGCTGAAGTATGTCCACAGGTTTGATTATTAGTCTAATAATCAGTAAAAGGTGATTAAACTACCTGTGAGAAGGCCAGAACCGAGTTATAAAACATACCTGGTTGGGGATGGCCCTCTTCTTGTTTGCAGCAATATTTCTCTGCTGGGCACTGTCATTACACAAAGATGAACAGAAAATGAATTAATACGATTCCACACCAACCACAACCTAAAAAAACATTCAACACTTAAAATTACAATTGTTGTTGTTTTATTACTCTATTTACTTTCTATTCCCAATAATTAGTCTTAGAAAAAACTTATTTGACTGTTTGAAGGTTTCATTTAATACACCAAAACAAAAGTATGTGAACATTACAGTAAGTTTTGAAACATTGTCATGATTTGAGCAGTCTCAGACATAAAACCCTTTTTTTTTCTGCCCACCTGTTGTTGCCGTAGCCTGGGGAGCTACCATCATCCAGCCTTCTGTAGTCAAGACTGAAAGTGACGTCATGAGAACCATTAAGAGCCCTGGCTGATCTGTGAATTGTTATGTCAATCCACTTGCCATGCAGAGGCAAGACATAAACCCTGACACATGCTCATACAAGGGCTTGGTTTGTTATTCAGTCGATACCAAAATCCACACCAGAAAGGAGTTTCATTAAAATACAGTTTACGGTAACTGCAACAACAGGGAGTGCATGAAACCACCCGCAAACTCTAGATTACTTTGAGATATACTAGAAAAAAGATGAACGCTTTGCTGTGTGCAAATAGGTTTCCAGAGCAAAGCAGCCACAGATTAAAACATGAGCTCATTTTGTTGTTGGTACAATAAGCATGTGCTTTAGCAACAGTCTGCATCAACAGGGGAACGTCTTTTAGTCAAGCAACCAAGCATGTCTGGCTGCTTTCGTTTGGAGGAGCTTCATTGCTTCATGCAGGAGAAAATAAATGTTCATCTCGCACAATGATGGCTGGACATGGGCACCAATGACCCCCACGACATGAAAAGGAGGAAGCGGGTAAAGATAATGGATGGATGGACAGTGTGAACTTGATGATTGTGGGATTCGCCTCCACAAAAGGGAGACACACACACAACACTGCACAACACACTGCAGGTTTGCAACATGTATAATTATAGGGAACACTTTGGAAGAAGCAAAGCATTATTCCAGTTTCTGAAAGAAGTCTCTTTTAGATCTATAAAGCCACAAATGCAGATGAACGGTAGCACAAACCTACTGAGCTGTAACTGGGGTCATGGCAACAAGCTAAATACTGGACGAAGGAACGATACCTACTTTGCAAAACCTATGAAGTCCTCGTGGTTGGTGTTGATGTAGGACAGCTCGGTGTCAATCAGGAGCAGAACCTTAGCAGAAAACGTGATTAAGATGGGTACGATGTGATTAAAAGATACTTTCAGAGGGCACAAATAAAGTGACAAATCTCACATCTGATATTACTTGTTAAAATCCAGACAAAGCGATGCCAATAGATGTACAGGGCGATACTGGCTGCATGTTGAAGCACTTAGAGCTAAAAGATTTTTACTTGAAAGTTTAATTTTATAAAACCTATAATTTATTAAGTTCCTCAATAATAGTACTCTACTTAAATTACAAGTCATTCCCGATGTAAAATGCTACAGACAAATCTATAAAAAAACAAAAACTGCTAACATATAGCTCTGATTATATCCAAGAGCCTAAAGAATTCAGAAACTAAAGCAGGAAGATAGAAATGTTTGCTGCATACTTTGAGATCATGCATTTATCTCAAGCAAGCAGGTAAGACTCTAAAAAAAAATTATATAATTTATGTTTTGCCTCATTTAAATTTCACTTTCCAAAACTGTGTTTGACTGAGTCTATTCAATAAACGGAGAAAAATATTTTTAAATAATTTAGGCGCATTGCAAAGAAACTTTAATGCTCGACTCAACTTCAGTTGCGTTATTTATTACAAGGTTAAAAAAAAGGCCTGGAATCAATCTGAACAAAAGAAAAATAATGTTATATTTTAAAAGGTTCTCTGCTGGTATGAAAGATGACGTCAACAGCTGAATTTAAAAAGCACTGACACACGCAACACTGCTGGCCTTCAGTGGAAAAGTCTTTAAGAGCTCGAAGTGTTATTCACTAGATAAATGCAAAAGTAGTGCATAAGTGATTAAAAATGATGGCAAACTTATACAAATGCAGATGAGGACACCTTACAACAGAAAACAGTACTTTTGAAATGATCTGGAACCGTTGGGGAATAGCTCAAATTTTATCTCATCTATACTTCTTAAATTCTGGTAACTTCACATTGTAACATATTTATCTTAAACAACATCTAACACCTTTCTCGCAGCTTCAATCAGCTCAGGAAACAAAAGTCACACTGCAAGCTACTGTGGTCAAGCCAGTTGTTCAAGGAATGAGAATATATATTTTAAAGCTGTTTTATAAAACAAAATAACACTCAAAATAATAACGTAGGTGAAAAAAATTGAAATGTGTTTAAAAAAAGTATTGCTTTAAAGCTATTAAATGTTAATCTGATCATTTCACACGCATTACGACAAAGCACAAACGAAAATACAAAAACTGTCAGAAATCTGTAATACAAGCGATTTTGGAGTCGACACTAAAAACACACTTTCTGGTTTAGTTCAAAGCTGCTGTCTGAGCAACAGTAAAGCAACACAACAAAATAATTATTTTGCTACTGCCCTGAACCTTAGACTACTGGTGGAAATGTCACAGACCTAGGGCTCAAACCTTTTAGCTTAATAAAAGAAGCTTTACTTGTATTAACCATCAAATTATTAAATTAATATCCTAGCAACAAACCTGATCTTTCGTCTTCCCTTCTCTTTCTCTGACATGGGTGGTGACAATCCTTTCAGTTTCCTCTCTCAGTCTGGGGTAGGAATTGAGCTGCAAGGCAACAATACATGTAACTGCAGCATTACACATAGAAATGCACACACACACACACAAGCACTTACACGAGAGCTTTAGCATAATAAGACTTACCAAAATATCAGAGAAAAACAGGAGTGAGAAGTGAAAATAAGTAGGAAACAAAGAAAAGAGTAAACAAAATGTCAAGTGACATTTAAGTGCCACACATTTTCAGGCAAACACTACTGAACACAGATTTTTAACACACAGACGATGCGTTGAGACACGTACTGTCAGTCAGGGATGACTGTTTAAAAAAAATCTAAAAAATATTTAGACAGGAATATAGAAGAGCATAAACATTTAAGACATGCCAATAGATTTCAAACAGTCATCCCTAGCTGACAGTAAAGTTAGAAAATAGTTAATGTTAGTGATGACAGGATGGGAGAGGACAGACGAGGGGTGGCTGTGGCTGAGTGGTTAGAGCAGTCGTCCTCCAATGCAAGAGTTGGGGGTTCGAATCCACCAGCAGTCACATACCGAAGTGTCCCTGGGCAAGACACTGAACCCCTCAGAGTCTCCGATGTGTGTCCCATCGGTGTTTGAATGTGATAAAGCACTGATTAGTCTCTTTAGAATGATTTGTTCAATTAGCTTTGTAGAGATCTAGTAGAGTGCTGTATGAATGGGTAAATGAGGACACAGATTGTAGTGTAAAGCACTTGGAGTATCTTGAAAAAAGATAGAAAGGCGCTATATAAGTACAGTCCATTTACCATTTACAAGTGTGAAGCAGGCAGCAAAGATAACGGTTTGCTGGGTATTTGGCATTTCTTGCTTGCAGTGCTCCCTTTTGTCCACAAGATGGTAGTGGAGTACTGCTTTTCTGGAAGCACAAGACGTCTTTGTGCCCACAGAGACCATGAGTTGCTAGCATCATCTCTGAACAATCCCTCACATCAGTTTTGTCAGTTCAGCTGATAACAGCATGTCTTTTTACTCTGGGTCAGTGAAAGTGCATAGCCAGACTCAGCTCTGCTCACAGACCAGGTTAGCTCTCAGGCAGGAAGGGAAAGAGTAAGAAGCATGGGGGAGGGGAAGAATAAACACCAATCAATGCTGAGGTCAAACTATGTGGGAGATGGTCATTGAAATTTTAAGCCGTGCTTAAAATTTTATGGAGTGATTAAAATGGGGACAGGACATAACACTTCAGGGGCAATGATAACAGATGGGCAAATGAAGCTTGGGGGTGACTGTGCTGAGGAGTAATTGTTCCTGAATGGCAGCAATATACAATAATAATGAAAAGGATTTCCTTGTTATGAGCGACAACAATTCAACACGAATGTCCCCAGTTACCTTGATGGTACACTTCATGGTGACTGCCGTGAGTTCAGACACCACAAGATCCACACATTTGAGGCTGGGCTCTTTGAGTTTGAGGATCTGCTTTTTGACAATCGCCTCAAAAGCCAGGTCAGGGGTGAAGAGCCCCGTCCTGGAAGGTCATGGGATCAGTTTGCATTTTGTTGTGGGGTGTACAGAAACAAACAGGTATGAATAAGGGAAAGAGAAATTTGGAAAACGGGAAGGAAGAAGAAGGAGGAAATAAAAAGAGAAAGAGAGTTTGTTGTGTTAGTCATTTTTAATTGAAGACAGTCAAATCAGAGGAGGACAAGCCACAGGGTTTTCACTTTCTCTTTTCTGGCAAACCATCTCCTCCTATAATTGGTCAAAATGGTAGAGACCTACAACTTAAAGACAACATATAGCTTACAGCACCCTCTGGTTATGATGGCTAGTTTAGATGGTTTAATGTATTGAGTTGTGAAACCTGCAGCATGTCCAGAAGAAACCAGAGATGCTCAACCAATAAAACACCTCTTATCCACGACAACACGTCACCCGTCACAACACTCCACAACACGACAGCGCTGCCTGCACACAGAGCTCGTGGGGCTGGGCTGGGCAGAGAGCAAACCACACAGAACTTCTCCTTTTCTAAACACAAAATCTGACTTTCACAGATGTTACAGGACAACCCGCTGCTAATGTTCTGTGACAGCGTACCCTTTGCCAAACCCATGTTTGCCTACAGCTTGTGTCTCGGCCGAGTCGGGAGATGCTGGACACTTGCAGTACCTTGTTGGTGCACTGCCTGACTGTGTTGATGAGCTCCTGAATGACCAGATCGATACATTTGAGACAGGGCGTTTTCAGCTTAACAATCTGCTTTTTCACGATGACCTCAAACGCCAGGTCAGGAGTGAACAGTCCCGTTCTGAGGATGAACAGAAAGACAGAGGCACGGTGGCCGACAGATGGAACAGTTAACAAAACATATGGGTCAGAGTAAAAATAAAAAATACAAACATACAGACAATGAGCCAGAACGACAAAACAAGTGACAGCAGAAATCTGAGGCTTCAAACTATGACAAAATAAAACCCTGACAATCAAGATGAAAAGGCATGATGAGGTGCCAAAGATGGGCAGTAAACAATAAATGTACCACAAATAAGATTTGACAGACAGGAACATTTTCCTGAGGAATACAAATACACTGAACAAAGATACACATTACGCAACACCTTAGAAAAACTGAACACTTTAGACAGAAACAGAAAAGAAGTGGGTGGTTTAGCAGTTAAGAGGACTGAAGGAGACGGCAGAATAGAAAACATACACCAGAAGAAATTACTGAGATACATCTGTTTGAATTAATATTGAGTGTGTGATGTCCAATTTGGAATCTTAAGAGTATATAGCAGAGCTAGAGCTTTGATGAAAAAAGCAGTATTTAAAGTCAGAAACTTGTTACATTGATTCGGTGTCTCGTTTGACAACTTTTTTTAGCTGAATGCTACTTGCCTGACACCGTGGACATTTTTAATTGCGTGGCTGATTTCCCTCCTTAGCTCCTTCTCATCAAATACAATCTGTGGGACAAAGGAGACAACAGAAACCTTTAACAAACCTCGCAGTATATATATTTTTTTGCAAAACGTCAACAATCCAAACTCTCGTCAATAAAAGGGATGTAAATATCTGCGTTAACCTTGACTAGCTCGAAAGGGAAGCGTTCATGGAAGATTCGGTTTATCCTGGCACCACCCGACAGCTCATTAGTGTCCACCTGGTCCCCAGAGCCTTCAATGCATTTTTCAAAGTCCACACCAAACTGCTGCACCATCCTGATTAGACACAAAAGATGAATGATCTGTGAATTTTTTTCCCTTTCTACTCAATAATCCATTAGGAGCAGATGTAACGTGCTTGTACCGATATATTCCATCCACACAGAACGTATTATTTGTATGCTTTATCTTTACAGTTTGCATTTTCAACAAGCTTTATAACTATTTAGTACATTTCATTTTTTGGAAGTCCATGGAAAAAAATATTAATTTTAGGTAAAACTACTATAATAACTTCTCTGTAAATCAAAGGTGCAAGAAACTGAAACTAAACTAACTGCAGCATAATGTGCTGCACAAGTTCAGAAGCGGCATACTTAACAGGAACTACAAAGCAAAAAAAAAAAAAAAAAATTATGCACTCACTGCAACAACGCCTTTGTCTTGCGAGTTGGGTCATCTGGACGGAAATTTTTGTACTCCTCCACCTCTTTTTCCAGGGAGAGGAGTTGACTCTGCAGCTTGCTGCGCAGACCAGGCAGTGTATCCCTGATGTGATTGGTCAATTGCTATTGACAAGTAAAAAAAGATATTTAAGGAAAGTATGACATGGCACGATGAAGAAAATAAACCACTATCCTTTAACAACAAAAGCTGATGAATGCAGACCTGGTTAAGTGTCTTTTGTAGATGTGGGGTGCCCATACGGTCTGCCATGTGTCTGTAGGCTGGGTGTGACAGAAAAAACTTTCTTTCGGCAGCCAAAGCAGCGCGGATGTCTTTCTTCCCATCAATATCTTTTTGACTCCGGTTCACCACACCAATGAAACCTAAACACAAAACGTTGCACAATTACAAAACTTGTGATACGTAAAATAAACGTCTGTTTCTGGGTGTGATGTAATGCCTACCTCTTCGCAGTGGCAGCAGTTTATTTTCAAGGATGTCCCTTGCATCAGTGCCTTCATCCATTAGGTCCAATTTTGTTATGACACCAATGGTACGCACACCTGCAAAAAGTAAAATAAAAAGAAGATACGTTAACACCTAAATTATTTACTGGCAAATGTAGAAGCTTGGTACTTAAAAGTTTATCGGTGTAACATTTCTAAGCAGCTGTAAAAAATTTGTTACAGACTAAAATGTTGACAAAACAGCTGTAGCTAAATAAATGGGAAGTAATAGTGATCAGATTGGGTCAATATTTTACTGATAATGTACAATTGGAGGCCTGATATCTCCCTATTGACTGATGATTTACCTTGTGGGTCAACCTCCTTGGCAATCTTCAAAGCGTCTGAGTTAGCCAGGTCAGTATTTGCAGGAGTGACTGCCAGGATTAAACAGCTCTCCTTGGTAATGAACTGCAGCAGCATGTCTCTGATTTGATGCTCAATGTCTTGTGGCTGATCTCCTACAGCAATCTTGGTCATACCCGGGAGGTCGATCAGGGTCAAGTTCAGGACTGGGTTACAATTAACAAGACGTTACAACATTAGGAAAAGTTTGTTTTTTTTCATGTCTTTTGCATTTAAATACAAAGAAACACACACACACATTATAATAGTATATCACATTGTGTCAAATTTTTATGACACCTTTTCCTCCAATGAATTAGTTCATTTTTATATTACCTGTTAAAAGTGTCACATCGTTAACTGAATTTAGCTTTTGACTGAACCGTAGTAATGATGGATGGAAAACCTCATTACCTGCCAGTAAATTGTTTTAAGTTTTACCAAAATCACACACTACTCGATGATCTTGTTTCCTGTAGTATTTCACAGCTTAGAACTCCTCACCATATTCAGATTGTAGTACAAACTATACTAATTAGATCAAGGCAGAAAAAACGTCTCCGACTGGTTTCATAAAATAAATGGTGAAGGTTTGTTTGTTGCCTTATTTTTTAACCATAAAATGGTCCAATGTAACTGTAAAAACCATTGGAATAAATCTTAATAATCTAAGTAATTTGTCCTAAAATTAACCAAATGCAAAATGGTTATGATGAAAAGTGTGATTTTAAATAGATGTGTCCATTACCATTTGGCGAATAAACCCTCAGGTTAATGGGGATAGGAGAAATGCCTTTATTGGATCCTGTGATTCTGTCGGTTTCTGCCTCAATTTCCATCCGCACTTCATCAAAATCCACAAACTTCTTTCCTTTGCAGTGAAGGAATTCAGCATATTCTACACAGAGGGGCAGAGAGGAATGTACAAGATGTGAATAGAAACAGAGGGCATGAAAAGAACGAACAGGGAAAAGAGAAAAAGAAAATTGAATTTAAGAGATGGCCAGCATACAGCGTGCCGCTTCAGGCTCTGTGATAGAGGCCATGTGCAGAGCAGTGATGAAAGAAAACTGGGATGTGTGAGCACAGGACAGGCGTACTCACCTGCTATATTATTGACCAGCTGCAAAATGAGAGGTCTGCGAGTAACAATGCCTGATCCTCGAGGAAGAAAGTCCCTGAGTGAGAGAGACAAATGAGAAAAAAAGGAATAAAAATAAAGAAACCTCAAAAATGTGCAGAACAAAAGAAATAGGGAAAAAAATGATGCATAAAAACAGGTCAGGAAAAAATGGTGCAGACATACAAAACAACAAAAAGAAACTTATTTCATAAAAAAATGGCCTCTGACCAATTGATGGGAAAAGAAAATTCATGCAACAGACCAACTCAAAAGTGAATCATTTTCTCTCATTTAACATTTGTCCAACATCAGCACAGATTCTTGCAAAAAAAAAAAAGAGAAAAAAAAAGAAGAAGAATCTAAAAATTAATTTATTATTATTATTAATTATTTTTTTGATTAAGCTAATTTAAGACCATACAGCACTGATCATGTTTGATTTTTTTTTGTTTATTCGTTTGTTTTATTAAATCACTGTGCTTCTTCTCAAGCTACAGTTAATGCAAATAAATGCAGAATGTGTTTGTGGCCACAAGGAAGAAATTTATGAGTTTGCAAAGTTCACCTGCTTAGTAAAAGGGTCAAAGAACAGTGGTCAATGTTGTATCAAGGTTTCAATGACAGGAAGCTACCAGCACAAATGTTAGCGGCTGCAACAATACGCAAATAATTATTATTGATATCTATTTGTCATAGGTGCAACCAAGCAGCTGGTTCAAAATGTGTCACCACCTGCCTAAAGATATCGCTGAAGTTTAGATGTAAATAATAACTGAAATTGCCATGATAGTTAAATCAACAAGAAATAAAAGATCTGAATATTGGTTACTAAATTTAGGGCACAAATTAATTAACTATACTATGTGTCACAGCCAGACAGAATAAAAATGCTTACAAAAGAGGACAAGCAAAACAAAGTGAGCAGTTTCAACAGTCAATATTTTCAACAACCCACACAAAGAGTAGATCTTCAGCATTCACTTCCACTCTACTCCTGTTCATTCATCTTCAACTCAGAAATCCTGCAGGTGCTTAAATGGGTCCAATAGGCTCTGCAGATAACTTTTGAAGGTCAAATTGTGGAGAACAAACGTTTCATCTGCAGTTAGTCATTTAACCAATCACATTCCTTAGAACACATTAAACAGGAATGCTGGTTAATGGACTGCATATAAAACATTCACAAATGCTGCTTTCGACTCCATTTGTTAACACTGTTGACTTTTACTAACATGATCAACATTCTAAATATAAATCTTGTTTTGCTATGCTATTTTATACAACTTGGCACTGTAAAAGACGAGTACAGTCTACAGTTTAAAGCAGCATTTAAAATATAGCCAGGATATACTGTGGCATCTGTTTCAGGATGTATTGTAGCATCTGTATGCATTGATAGCAAAACAAATCTTGTTATTTATGTGGACAAACGATCTCCAAATACTGTGTTCATACAGAAGTACACTAGAGGGAGGATACAAAATGTAATAGAAAATACATATTCTATAATGTAATAATGTGGCTCTGTGGTGAATCTGTCTGTAGAAATATAAAACCTGTCCTTGGCTAGTTGTCATAGCACCAGTTAAGACGTTCAAGTTCTAAGTCAGCACTGGAACCACTTTAAGTGAAGAAAACTTGTCAGTCAGCCTTAAGATGAAGCATCTACGGTACATCCAGACTGTTTATCCTCCTCACTCTCTAACAAATCTTTGTTGCACTGCTGCTCTACAAACATACATCTGGTAGAAATTACCCAACATAAGTCATCATTCTAGCAAATCCAAGAATGCCACTAACCCAAATGCCTTTCTTTTTTATCAAAGATTAATTTGTCTGAAGACCCTGAGGTAGTGCCCAACTTGCTCACTAACTTTACACACTGGAATTGATGTGTCTGCTCATACAGAAAGGATACCACACATCATAGAACACCACATATTGAAATATTGTGGGGAATATTATGGGTGGCACCCACTACAAAATCCATAAATCAGCAAAAATCCACAGGTCTGTGGTTCACTATCAGCTATGTCAACACCAAAATGTGGAGCATGCATGCACGTGGAAGACAGAACAGAGTGGGACAGAACAGGTGAGGTTTGTGAGCAAGAGAGGAACAGAGTTTCAAGAGAATAATAGAAATCAATTCAAGCAGTAAGACAGAAAAGGCAGAAAAGAAATGATGTGGCAAATAATGAGAAGATTCAGTATAAAAAAAATAAAAAAAATCACACAAAAATGACCTCCCTCTTTCAAAACTCAATTCCCAAATAATTCTAGCTGACTGGCTATTTCTCCCCAGTGGCTGGCTTCCTTTTTTGGTTCAAAACCATTAAATGCATGAATATTCAAAGCCAGCCTCCAAATGCATATCACCAACTGGCTTTTCAGTAGACAAACCTCAACGACTAAACAAATGCTTGAAAAGAAACAACCACAACATTGAAGGAAGGCTTCAGTAATCTTTACCTAGGAAAAAAACAAAGAAAAACTTGTTTATTTTTTACTTGTTTTCTCTGTGGAAAAAAAAAAAAAAAAGAAGCAAATGACACCAAAACTGAACTATCCAGTTTATATAGCCAGAATTGAATAAAAAGCAATTGCATATTAAAAAGAAGCGAGAGGTCAGAATTCTATTATTGATGCGCTTTAAATGATAGACGAGGCTCGGCAGATTGTGTATCATTTCATACATTATTTATGGTCAATCTAAGAGCATGTCTGTGAGCCTTTCTCCCTTCAAGAAAGCAAAAATCAGAAGAGAATAGGAGAGCCTGCCCCCAACAAACTCTTAATGACATGCAGTGTAACCCTATGGAGTCATAGTTCCCAGCTGATTCTCCTTTCCTTTCAGGATGAGAAAGCTTATAGTGTGTTACAAACATGGGAACCAGTGTGTAAAACTATGAGGTCATAGTAAAGTCTCAAGGGAGGCTGTATTACATGACAAATGTGTTTGTGGTTTGATGAGGCTTATTCTATGGGTCCTTAGTGTGGCAAAGAACATATTATTATGGCTACCCACATTCCCACATCCCAGTGTGTCACTGTGGGTACAAAGAGGCATACCCAGGCAGCAAAGCCTCTCAAAGGAGGACCGCAATCCAAATGCTAACTGGAAAAATCCCTTCAAACACTGACGCTTGGCTGTTTATACATCTTTCACACTGTTGGGACACATACAAGCAACACAACTGAATGACATTTCTCATTCTTCCTCAAATACCCTTGCTAATGGCCTGGAATAGGTAGAATTCATTAAACAAGTGCTGTATTAAAACTGTCATATTTTTGTTAGTGGCATGAAACTACTGTAGCATCCCAATGACCGGTATAAGTATTCTCCGAAAAAAGACAGATGAAACTTCTGAAAACTGTTCCAGCACACTATAAAGATCAAGGTTATTTTGAATTCTAGTGTTTGCTTTAGATTTGACAATCCCCTCCACCCAACCACCATGCAGTGCCAGATATGGTATCTCAACTCTGTGCTGGGACAATAAAATTACAAGACAGAAAGTAGAACTAAAGATAGAGACATGGGTGTAACCAGGACCTAAAAGTATTATTGTTCCTACATAAGTAACCATATGACTACATCTAGATAAAAATAAATTTTAAAATCCATTAGAATTTGTAAGTAAGACCTGAGATGATGTATGTCATTAAGTTGATATCATGTATATCAAAACAAGAACACAAACCAACAGCACTGACATTCAAAAATTTTCTAGATTTTGGGTCAAAACGTTTTAGTTACTTATCTGATGGAAAGCGAGGCCCAAATAACTTATATTTCAGTTCCAGTTAGACATCAAAGGCTTAAAATAGGATGATAAGACATCAATACAAAGCAAACAAGATGTAGCTGTACTTTCCACTTTCTCTACTTGTCAGGAAATGAAATAAATCTGAGCAATACCAGAAATGCTGATGGTAGAATATTGCCTGCTTAAAAAAGTAAGGCTATATATTGGATCTGCCAAATGCATAACATATTGCCATCACATCTGGCTAGTCAAAAATAAAACTAGTTGTACTCTTGTGTCAACTGTACCTTTTCTTATACTATCATATCAGAAATACATTTGTCCTGAGAAAGCAAACGAAGGATTGTTCTCTTTCCGGTGTAAACAGAGACAAAACCTTTTTACAGCCATTACTGGGTGTTACAGCACTCTGTGCTCCTGGTCTGTTGTCACCACAGACAATATGCGAGTGAATTACCCTACTAGGCTGTAAAAACAATAGTTTTGCATGAAAACATGCCAGAACACGTGGTAAAGGCTTTAGCTATTGGCTACTCTGGGTTCAAACACCCTCTTTGATCAACAATGGTTTATGGGTGTGGTTGTAGTCATGGTTCTGTGCAGTAACACCCAAGTGCTTTCAGTCTGTAGTAAGTTCCCACCTTAAAAGGTATGAGTCTGGTTTGCATTGTTCGTCCTGTCTGCTAGGTGCAACATTGAAACTGAACTGCACTGAACTATATGATACAGTTTCAAGCTCACCACTTTCATACTTCTCACAAGGCTGCCGATGCAAAAGAGTAATCAGAGAATACCATAAGTAAATGGACAAATATTAGTCCTGTAAGCCAGCAGAAAACAGAACAGCACATCCAGAGTGTGACTGCCATTAATTGCAGCCGATGTTTGTACTCTCAAAATACAAAACCCTACTCATCTGAATACATGTACACCAAGTGGAGATCTCATAAACAAATGCAGTCTTGCCAAAGAGCAGTTAAAACGTGCTCTTCTCGGTGTGTTGACAACTGAAGTTGCATGTCGCCATCTTAAGAATAGATCTTTACAATGCGGGCTGGACTGTGGATAACTGAGATCGCTGAGTGGGTTGGTTAAATGCTGTGTCACTCAATGAGGTGGAAACCTGCTAAACCAGTTGCTTCAAAGTTGTTTATCCTCTTTATCAGCATTCACTGATGTGAGTTCGAGGGCAAAAGAACCAACTTGTTGAGGATGACAGAAGTTACACTGCTGTTGGGAAGCGCCGCAACTTCAAACCTTCACACTTCAAACAAAGAATAGGTCGAGCTTATTTCCCTATACTCACCATAACTTTACCCAAAAACAGAAACAAAAGAGGAAGATAGTATTAGGAAGTTGTATCTGTTGCAAATGTTTGATTATGACTGCATGATTATGAAATGTCAACATTATAATCAAGACAAAGTCTGCTTTCAATAATAAAAAATTACAGCCTTAAAATAAAATAATCCTAGGAACAAAGAAAAAGAAAAAATATGTTTTTTTTTTTTAATCAACATTACTTTCCCGTACAGACTTTTCCTAGATTACTGTAAAATTTGTTTCAACAACAATCTATGATATGATCAAAATAAATTCCCATCGGCAGCGGTTATAACTGTTGGGAAATATACATCTTGCAGTACGTTTAGGGTGTGGCATGGAATAATAAACAAAAAACACTGGAAAAACAAGATAAGGATTTATAGTTGGTTTACAAAATAAAAGCAGAACAAAATAAGTGTGGCAAAGAAAAGTTAAAGTTATTATAGATTATTATGCGACCTTACAAATCAGGTTGACGAAAAAAGCGTAACTTAATTGTTGACGTTACGTACGTTTAAACACTTATTGTTAGCTTAGCTTAGTTTAAGGCAAATGTCAGGTCCAAGTACCCGGCGTGAAACGTTCAAATACACATCTGAAGTATGTAGAGCTACACATATAAACTATAAAACGAACAGACAATTAACCTTAATTAATTATTCTCTTACCTGCCAACAAAATTTTCCAGGACAGAGCTTTTTCCAGCGCTTTGTCCACCGACCACAGCAATCTGAGGAAGGTCTAAATTAACACTTTGCCCAATAGAGCTGAAAGCGTCTTGAAGCTTGTTGATGAGGGGAATGAGATCTTCCATGCCCCGGTTCCCCATGGCTTCGTTAGCTCGGAGAGCCCTTCAAAACGCAACCGGAGGCTAACCGTGCTAACTAGCTGGGTAACGTTCGCTTAGCAGCGAGGCGCTCTCGAGTTACTGCCGCTTTAAACAGCTCAAATGTTTGTTTCCAATTTGAAAACTACAGCAGCTATCTGAATGGCAATTTACCGTGGCATAATTTCGTGTTCTTTCAAGCGCATTAATTAAACCAGTCAGTCGAAACGGACGGAAAACTCGCAAAACAAAACTTCCTCTATACAAACGTTATCCGGTTTTCTCAGACTACTTCCGATCGAAACCGGCGAATGAATATCCGCCCCTTTTTTTTCTTCTCGTGAACGGAAGAGTCATTCTATTGGCTCATTTTGGTGTCACTCCACCCAAAGCGCGATCCTATTGGTTATATTGAAAGGCACGTTCGCCACTCTAAACAAGGAACTGCTCACTGATTGGTCCATGTCAATGTCAGTTTCTGCCCCTTTACGTCACACAGTCGTTGAAACATGGCTGCCACCATAGAATGTGGGGAAGATAGAAGTACTTTAGATAGCACCATGTCTTTAAAGAAAGTTTTGTCTACAGCTTCCGCTCTTACTCTTAAAATTGTTGCTGAATGTCCAGTGACCAAAGCAAGAGCCTGTGATCTTACACTTCCGCACTGCACCGTTAGCACGCCCGTTTTTATGCCCGTTGGTACACAAGGGACCCTGAAGGGGATCACTTCTGATCAACTGGAGAGTCTTGGATGTCAAATTTGTCTGGGAAACACGTATCACCTTGGCATGAGGCCGGTAGGCAATACTGCAATTCCAATATTTTTGTTAGCATTTTAATATGTAGGATTTTGAATTGTGGTCATGCAAATGAATTACTTTTCCCACAGAGTACTTTGCTTTCAGTCTGCGGGTTTACTTGTGGTTCCTAGAGTCAGAAAGTAGAATGGGGTGGAGGTTGAACATTCAGTTCAGGTTCCTTTTTTGGTGAAAACAACTTCTAATTTATCTCCATGGAGCTGACACCCTGTCTATTTTTAGGACTGGGCTTAAATTTATCTTTTTTATATAAATCATATAGTAAAGGTTGGGTTGGTTTGGGTTTCCTGAGCTATCCTTTAGTTGTAATGCTATAGGCTTAGACTGCTCACAGATTTACCAACCACCTTTCCTCTCTCGTCTGCTAGCTTTACTCTCTACTCTCCATGCCTGTTATAAATATTGTTGCCATAACCAACCCCATAGAAACTACATCTGGACCAGTACCTCCTGTGTTTGTCTTTCTACCACTCAACAGTTGGAGCCAGAGACACTATACCAAGTAACCCTGCTTTCTGTCACTGTTGGTAGATGAAGTATGAGATCCCATTTTACTGAAACTACCATGTTGTCTTTTTAGAACCAGAGTTTGTGCACTAGGATGTGGGACTTTAAGTCCTGCTTAATCTCTTGTACACAAACGTGTTACATGAAATAAAATAGTAATTACAGATAAAAATTTTAGAAAAATGAATATTTGAGAATACAGCAGCAAGGTAAGAACTCTGTGAATCAACAAGAGTTCCTACTGGGAAGGTTAATCCCATTACAGAAAACTTCCAAGTTTATGTTAGAGGTCTGTTGTAATATATGTACACCCTTTGATCAAGGCAGATGGCTGCTCATCCTGTACCTGGTTCTGCTGGGGGTTTCTTCCAGTTAAAACGGAGTTGTTCCTTTGCACTGTCGCCAATGTTCTGCTCAGGATGTGGGATTGCGACAAAATGAAGATTAGGCCTTTTAGATGGATCATTTTTAATAATTTGCATTCAAAATGTACTTTTGCTAATTGTGTTACAATAGGAATTAATTGACTGTAATTGGATTTATGATTAGGACTTGATTTGTTCTTATTTTTAATAGTGCCCTAAAAAACTTTTTGTTGTTAATTGGTGCTATATAAATAAACTGAATTGAATTAAATGTCTATTCTTGTTAATCCCACTGTCTGCAGGGACCTGATCTGATAGAGAAAGCCAATGGTTTACACGGGTTTATGAACTGGAAGAGAAATCTTTTGACAGTGAGTACAGCTTCAACTTCCTGAATCCAGATATAGAACTAAGAGCTGTATGAAACGTTTTTTATATTCATAGTCAAAAGGGGTAGTGGATAAAGTTTGTTTTGAACCCTTGTCTGTTGTTTTCCCTTTTCTTTAAGGACAGTGGAGGCTTTCAGATGGTGTCTCTTGTTGAACTCTCAGAGGTCACAGAAGAAGGAGTCAAATTCAAATCTCCTTATGACGGCAAAGAGATCTTATTAAGTCCTGAAAAATCCATCAGCATACAGAACAGTTTAGGTCAGCTGAGAGTAAATTTTGTACCTATTGGTCTTAAATACAAAATATTTTCCCCATGTATTACTGACAGCATATCCTAATTTCTTTCTTCTTATTTAGGGTCAGACATTATGATGCAGCTGGACGATGTTGTCAGCAGTACTGTGAAGGGACCACGGGTGGAGGAAGCCATGCACAGATCCATTCGTTGGCTGGATCGCTGCATTGCAGCCAATAAAAATCCAGATAAACAAAATCTTTTTGCTATAATCCAGGGAGGACTGGACGCAACGCTGCGCATGGCCTGTCTAAAAGGTAAAAACATGAGCTAAAACCGGCTAAGTGGCTGGATTTTCCTATCTTTTGCTATATCTGATTATGACTATCCATCCATTATCTTTTACCCGCTTCTTCCATTTTGGGTCACGGGGGTCGCCGGTGCCCATATCCATCAATCACTGTGCGAGGGGCGGGGTATACCCTGGACGGATCGCAAGTCCATCACAGGGCCTGATTATGAATATGAATTATTTAATATTAATGCAGTAATTAGATCATGTGCAAATGTAGAGTGAGTAAACTTTCAAACACCTTCAGTATCAAGCTGTTTCAATAAGACTGCCAAGAAGTTGTAATTAGAGGAGGAAGTTGATCATTTTCACATATTTCCTGTAACATTTTAAAGGATAAAGCTCAGAGATGTCATTCAGTTTTAGCAAGAACAGCTCTCACAGTTTGATGGCAGCTTTAGATAATGTTTCCTTTTCTGTAGAAATGACGCAGCGGGATGTTCCTGGTTTTGCCATTGGAGGTTTGAGTGGAGGAGAGGAGAAAGACGACTTCTGGCGGATGGTCACGCTGAGCACTGACCACCTACCACGAGAAAAACCTCGCTACTTGATGGGTGTCGGGTATGTTTGCAATAACCC